CGAGATGGATCTCAGGATGACCCTCTGGCGAACCAGACGTAGGATGAATGTGATGGCGGCCGAAGTAACCACCGAACTTTAAGGCTTCGGAGATGGGGAGGTCGGCGAAGTCTTGGTTGCGGAAGGCGACGACTTTGCGCTCGGCGACGTAGCGAGCTAGTTCGTCTTTGCCGGCGTCGGAGAGACTGCTCAGTTGGACGCCTTCGATCTCAGTGCCGATTGTGGGGGTGAGGTGGGAGGTCTTTGTGGTGGACTTGAGGAGGTTGGGGAATGTTGGGTCTGCGTCCTTGCCGTGTTCGTAGTGCTCGAAGGGCTCGAGGGGAGGGTAGACTTGGTCTTTGTTCCATGTTGGGAGATAGTTTGGGTACTGAGAAATGAGGGTTAGTATATGGAGTATATGTGAGAGAGGAGGTGATATACCTTTGCAGCAGCGTGGCCGTCAATACCCTTCTCTTCGGCTTCACGACGGTAGGCAACGGGGGATAGCTCCTTGTAAACGCCCTCGACATGGCCGGGGTAGAGCTTTACTTTCTGTGCATCGGCTGTAGGAGCCTGAGTCTCAACAGCCGAGGGAGCCATTGTGTATGGTTGCTATCAAATATTGTTTAAGTCTTTGATACGGGTTTAACGTCAAATGTGTAGTTCACTTGGAGCTCTACGGCCTTTATATACACCACTCACTCCTCATCTGACAAATACCATTCCAATACAATTCACAGCGCGGGGAAGTATGCATCCGCAATACAGAACTCGCAATGACGAACAGTAATTGTCGACCACTGTCATCATCCAAAGGCATCGCGCAAGCATCGCATCTATTGCGTTGATCAGTGAGACGCGAATCAAATCACGCAACGGCCGAGAGGGACGGAGAGTGTAACACGACAATGCAGAGTAACTTGGCGATCTTCGAGTATTTATCACGGCGTTATAGCATGGTATTGCGCAATGTCGGATCTCGTGGTTGAGGCCTTGGGGGTGGTGTTGAGTTGGCGCAATTCCTGGGGATGGGTCACGCAATATGACTATCACTCGGGGTTATCGACACGGAGTATCGATGTCTCGGATATCGGTCATAACTCTTTAGAAGTTCTAAAGGTCTATAGAATAAGTTTTGTAGGTATTATAATTATATGTGGCTCAAAATTCAAGAGTTGCAGTTGTCTCAAATATCTCTATCGTCGGGAAATGGCTATATAACAGTCTACCGCAGCAACTCGATATCAACTATCCGTACAAATGCCCCGTAACACTTCCAACTACCGAACCATGCCAAGTCCGAATATTTCTCCATAAAGTAGCCTAAACATTCTCGTTTCACGGCATCTCGGTCGGATCACCCAGTGATTGGTCCCTATCGCGAGCACGTCATGCCTCTATTCTCATAAGATAGGACAAACCTCCGAACTCGACCATCACTAGTTCCAAAGCACCCCATCTCTTGTACCAATTGTAAGCTTAAATCTCTTGACTTATCGAGAGGTCTTTATTGGTTCTTTGGTTGTGGCTCATGGTCTGGACCGAACCCCCAGGTTTAACAAGAGCTGCTGTATCTTGATACCTTGGCTGACTCGATTCAGAATCCCAGCGTTGTAGTTTATCCTGGAGGCGTCGATTAACCCTGAACCGGCTGGTCATGCCCAGGAAACACACGTTCGCCGAGTCCTGAGGTGATTTCCGTAGTCCATCGCGACATTGATAACCCCCGTGTCTTCTCATAGAGGCATCCCAGGCAGCATGGGGGCAGTACTGTAGAGTGTTAGATCAATTTCTAAAAGAATTGGACTTGGTAGGGGAGATGCCAGCCTTTATAAGTCCAGCCCTGCACCACACAACATCACATCATGTTCGACATCTCCGCGGCCCTATCTCTTATTCTCTTTCTCCGAGGACTTACTTGCTCTCAGTTGTTACTAGTGCTTCCCACTAAGATCCAAAATGGCTGCCGTTGGAGACTCCAAGGGGGTCATCGGCAAGACTGACTCTGAGGATCAAGGTCGTTTTGACAGTGGTGATGAGACTGCCAATTCGTCAATCGAGCACCCCTTCTCGGATCCAGAGATCGCGGATCGTTGGAGAAAAGTGTATGAGAATGCGCAATACGAGAATCGACATCGGTTTGATCCAAGTTTTACTTGGACTGCTCAGGAAGAGAAGAAGCTTGTTAGAAAGGTACTTTGCTCTTCCGCAAGAGACTTATACTACTATCATTATATGGCCTTCTGGAAGCCAGTTGACTAACATGCGCTTGTCTCTAGATTGACTTCCGCATCTGTCTCTGGGCATGGGTCATGTTCCTGTCCCTAGACTTCCACCGACGAAACATCAACCGTGCTATTTCCGACAACATGGTAAGTTAATTCCCCGATGAATCTGGGGTGAAGTCTTGACTAATAGTTTCTTTTAGTTGCCCGAAGTGGGCATGAACACTAATGATTTCAACTACGGCCAAACTGTAGGTCTACCCCTGCTCAGCTCGGCACTTCGACTGACCATTTAGATCTTCCTTGTGTCCTTCCTCTCAGCTGAACTCCCCAGTGGCTTAATTAGCAAGAAACTTGGTGCCGATAGATGGATCCCGTTTCTCATCTGCAGTTGGTCACTTGTTGCGGGTTCACAAGCTGCGCTGCACAGTAGGGGTGCTTATTTTGCTATCAAGGCTCTTCTGGGTCTTTTGATGGGTGGATTCATTCCGTAAGTCATCCGCACCCCGGCATGATAATAGCGACTAACAGAGATAGTGATATTGTTCTTTGGCTCACTTACTTCTACAAGTCCAATGAGCTACCCATCAGACTGGCTTTCTTCTGGACTGCCCTGAGCACTAGCAACATTCTAGGCTCTCTTCTCGCAGCTGGTATCCTTCAGATGCGAGGCGTCCTCGGCTGGGGCGGTTGGCGATGGCTGTAAGTACTAATGCTTGTCAACTTGGGAATCTCAAGCTCACATGGCTCTTAGATTCCTCCTTGAAGCTATTGGCACTTTCATCATCGGTCTCTTCTCTTGGGTTCTCATGCCTCCCGGTCCCTGCCAGACCAAGAGTTGGTTCCGTGGTAAGAATGGTTGGTTCAATGAACGTGAAGAGTACATCATGGTGAACCGACTCCTTCGTGATGATCCTAGCAAGGGTGATATGAACAACAGGTACGCTACCTCCGAGGCACCAACTATGCTCATGGACTGACACCTTTCACAGAGAAGCTGTCAATCTCTCCAAGCTCTGGAAAGCCGTCAAGGACTGGGAGCAGTGGCCGCTCTACATCATCGGCCTCATGGTGTACATCCCTCCCGCTCCCTTCAACACCTATCTCTCCTTTATCCTACGTCAAATCGGCTTTTCCGTCTTCGAAGCCAATCTTCTGGCTATTCCATCTCAGTTCCTCTACGCTGTCAACTTACTCATCATCACCTGGCTTTCCGAGCGGGTCAAAGAACGAGGCATGCTATCATCCCTCTCCAACATCTGGATCTTCCCATGGGTTCTCGCCCTCGTCGTCCTTCCTGGCGATATATCCCCTTGGGTTCGATACGCTCTCATCACAGGTCTTCTGAGTTACCCGTACTGCCATGCTATTCTCGTCGGTTGGAACGCCAAGAACAGTAATAGTGTGCGCACGAGGGCTATCAGCGCTGCCCTGTACAATATGTTCGTCCAGACTGGTAACATTGCTGCATCTAACATCTTCCGCGAAGACGATCAGCCCCTGTACAGACGAGGTAACAGGGTCATTCTTGGCATCACATCTGCAAATATCGTCTTATTCTATATCGTCAAGGCGTTCTATGTCTGGAGGAACAAGGTCCGCGATGCGAGATGGAATGCTTTGACAAAGGAGCAACAGCAGGATTATATCCTCAACACTACGGATGAGGGTCAGCAGCGTTTGGACTTCAGATTTGCTCACTAGGCGAGGGAATGTTTCCCACTGACTCATACCAAGTTTCGTCTTGAAGGATTTCCAAGACTTCAGTTTTGGTAGAATTCTATGATGAGAAAATCAAGATTGTAATTGGTACCAAACTTGTGCTCTCGACTGAAACCCCAGGATGCTTAGTAAAGTGGAAGCAGCGTGTGGCGGTCTTCAGGGTATTGTAATAACATTTCATGACCTCACATGACATGCCTGATTAAGGACATCCATGGAGCCATGAAGCAATTAAGGAAAGCTGATGAGAGACGGTTGGCCAACGCCGTGGCTATTTGGCTGAAGCCCCTAATAAGACATCAACAGGATACCCTCTCCCGCCACATGAAGTAAGTCACCACCAGACTATCCACATAAAAGCATTATTAGAAATCCTTGGCGCCAAACGACACCACTATTGTGCGCGCTTCCACAGTCGCCCAGGGTTTCGGAACGAGGAAACACGCCCAGTGACGATCAAGATCTCGAAACACAATAGACGACTCAAGCAATTGTAGGGAAAACAGTTAGCACTGAGACTAGAAGAAATCGAAGGGCCACAGACGTCGTATCATGTGCCGGATACGTGCTGGGGTCGGGGTTGGCGATAGGAGACAACATTCCGAAGTCCCTGGGCCAACTATTGTAGGCGTACACTTACAAAGATCACCAGTCTCTTGGTGTGTAAGTATTCGAATGGCTTGTGGTTAGGTTGCGCCACAGGAACGCCTTTGGTTGTGTCAAGTCTTTGTCTCAGATGTTGAAGATACGGGAATAGTCTCAGATGAACCACTTGTGAGGGAGGTGAGACATTCTACAACACAGCACAATTCAGTCTACGAACGCAGCTACACAAACTCCTTCTAACTATATCATATATATTGCTTCCTTTCTACTCTACATGATATTCAGTATCTTCAACCAGCCCCTTAAGTTCAATTCCACATCCGCTGCATCGAGTCTAGTCCAGGAACAACTGGAATTTTGCCACGGCCACCATCAAAGGCACGCAAATCTAGAGCAACAATAGCTCAAACTTACATGTCAATCCTCAATATGATTTGAGTTTTCCACGAGTGATCGACTTGACGGTCACAAGGGTATAAGATGACGAGGTCCTCCCGTTTGCGGATGCCATGTCTCAGTCTCTCTTTAACCACCACTCCACAAACTTGAAACTCCTGATCTTTTTAGATCAATTCCACTCTCTTTAAAATAAAAGCTGTGGTTCATCATACAAAATGAAGGCTTATCTCGCTCTCTCTATCCTGGCTTGTGCCATCTCAACTACAGCTAAAAACATCCACCGCAGGGCTGACGGTTTTCTTCCTGCCGCTGGTATTCCCAAGGGTGGATATAACGCTTACGGAGGAAATTATGACCATCCTGAGACGAACAAGTATCAGCCTGTTGGGCAGAAGCAGGCTTCCAGCTCGGGTGCTACCAATACCGGAGGCAAGAAGGCGGCTACGCAGAGTACAAAGTGCATTTCGAAGAGCAAGCTTGAGTCTATAGTCAACAAATACGTCTCGACTTTCTCTGGTATCACCGATGGTGGAGCGTTGGCCAAGACTATTTTCGAGGAGGACGTCAAGTTTTACTCCCAGTCCATCTGGTGGACTTCATCATCCTCCAAGATTAACAAGTACGCCAAGGTAAACATATCCTCACCTTTCCATCGCACCTATCAGGCTAACAGTTTCAGAACGATGACTTTCCTCCCATCTACAAGAATCGCAAGGAACTCATCGAAGGCAACACTGAAAAGACCAACGACCCCAGCGCCTTCATCAAAGGACCCATCGCCTACGGCTGCAACTCTTTCACCTTCTACTGGAAGGGCGACTTCGAGGTTCCCAAGGGAACTCGTCGTGGTCGCGGCAACGGTATCGACATGGTGTTCTTGAACCCTGAGACTGGAAAGGTCAAAAAGGCGTACTCTGAGTACAACACCCTCAACCAGGTCTACAACTGGGGCGCTCATATCACTTGGTCCAAGGATGATGTCTGCTGTGATTGCCCTGTGGTGTTTGATCCTAAGTGCAAGTGCAAGAAATAAACTTGGGGATTTTTGTAGTATAGCTGGTCTGGGATAGAGGAAAAGGCGTTAGGTTCTTTATTTAGGCTTGGTCAGGGGTGAAGTTAGATCGGCGTTGATGCATATACACAATCTTTACATACGAAAGACATATTCTCATTCGAACTTCTATTCACGCCCGCCGCGGGTAATCGTACATATGTGTCTGTTTGTCTAAAGCCGGCTTGATAGCTTGGGCTCATCGTCCAAAAAGATATTGATCAGCTTGGAAAAGTCATCCGCATATTGATACAGGAATCCATGCCCAGAATCAGGGTACAAGTGTAGTTGCGCTTGGGCATTCTTCAACTTCTTCCATATCACAATGCTGTTCTCTGTAGGCAGCAGAAGATCCTCGCTTCCTACTCTTGTGTTAGTGCTTTGCAACTTTGACACCCACTCGACTTACCATTTGCAATCAGAACAGGGATACGAAGCTCCTCCAACCGATCATAAGACGCATCCTTAGCCTGCTTCGGATCCATAAACTTTGCAAAAGCAATTCCCTGCCGACGAGCATTCGCAGGGTCAACATGATCAGTTCTATCCTTTCGTGCATTCGTGATTCTCTTCCAAGCAGCGTCACCCGCGGCTCTGCTCTTATCGGAAGTGTTGAACATGCTCATCAAGAAAGCTTCCTTGTGCTCTTCCTCTGTCTTGGCAGCATTGAGGGCATTGAATGCTTTCAGAGAAGGCGCTGGTACTACACCTTCGCCTGTGCTGGGCATAGTTCCGCAGAGGATGAGACGGCGGACAAGATCCTTTCCGTTGAGGGCGACGAGCTGAGCGACACAGCCGCCCATGGAGAATCCCATCACATCAGTCTTGTTGACGCCGAGTGCACGGAGGACGTTGATGTAGTATTGTGCCCATTGCTTGTATTGCTTGGGGACTTCGCCCTCAGAGCGCCCTACGCCTGCGTTGTCAATGGTGATGATGGGGCGTTTGGCCGCGATGGGGTTTATAAGAGCTGGATCCCAATGGTCCATTGTTCCCCTAATATCGTCAGTTTCTGCCCGTAGCTCACAATTGAAGAGAACTCACCTAAAGTGCATACACAATGTGAGGGGTACGCCTTGTTTCGCGCCGAAGCGCCTGTAGGCGAACTTGATGCCATCTACAGTGATGAACTGATCTTGAGCTGTTTCATATGTCGACATTTTGAAAATGTTTATGAGTCTAAAGTTCTCATTTCTGAATGTCAGCAATTTGGAAGCTGCTGTATAAGTTCAATGAAGATGCCGAGGTCCATCGGCTTTGACGTCAGGTGATCCATGATCCGGGGAACCTGGTCAATGTTTGAATACTTTCCTGATTGGGAAGTTTCACCAAGTCTCAGTGGCAGAAGGGAAGAATAGAGTTGACTTCAATGTTCTCAGGCTGATCTCAATGTAACTCACACAGATAACATGGACAAGCTCTTAATGCCTAATAGCAAATAAACAGAGTTCTTAATTACTTGTGAATGATGTTTGATGCACAGCCCTTGTAGAGTAGTTGAGCGATTGCGTATCCTTGTTGCTACTCGCTTGATGGCGGAAACCCTGCGTTTGGATGAAATTTACTAAACTCAAGTCCCACCAAAAGTCAACTGAAACCAAAGGCTCATTGGTACCTCGTCAAAAATTTACAAGTTAATGGTTACAGCTCATGGCATAAGCTATCATGCTTGACGGAGACTGCATACCCTAGACCGTAAGGTCGAAAGTCACAATCAGCACGACGTTTACAAAACCGAAGGTATGTAAAGTAAAAAAGACACCCCACTACAGTATTTGCCTGCCTCAGATAGCTCTGAGCGTCTAAAATACTGGCAGCACAGGTTCAACGACTCATCAAGACAGGCATGGGCTACTGTCTAATTGGAAGTTGACTTGATATACTGTATTATCGTCATCCTCAGTATAACCCCTCTCACTACAGCAGGCTAAGCCTGTTTAGGAAAGTGTCTTCCGTAGTATAGTGGTCAGTATGCAAGCTTGTCACGCTTGAGACCCGGGTTCAATTCCCGGCGGGAGAGATCCAGCCACCTGCGATACGCAGGTCTTCTTTTTTGCATTTTTCTCATCACCCATTCATTACGTTAGATCACTAGCTAGTTAGCTACCTGATCTTTTTGCCATCAAGAATATCTTACTATGAATACACTCCGTGATGATACTAGAAGTAAAGATAAGCCACCACTAAATGCCGGGTATCGACGAGTAGTATAAATAAGCGAAATCACCCTCCTCCAGGACCAACACGTACAGATACTATGACACTTGGGTTTCCCGTCTCGTTGCTGAGCTCCCCAATCCAACTGCTACAATATCATGGTCCACCAAGCAACAATGCACCATCCGTACCGTTAAAAAAGAAGTTCCTCCATATCATGACATACATACATGTAAAGCATCTACCACCATTATCGTGCAAACACCTTTACCACGCCGTCGCCGCCAGCGCTGACTACCCACTTACCATCTTGACTCCATACACAGGCGCAGATGCCTTCGCCCCGCATCACGCGGTGGCTTGTTACTTCTTGCGTGCAGGTACGCTTCTCAAGACTCCAGAAGCGGAGTGAGGCGTCATGACCGGCGCTGACGAGTTCACGACCGTCGGGGCTGAGGGAAAGGCTGGAGATGGCATCGGGGTGAGCAATCATGTTATATGTACATTGACCTGAGAGATTGTTAGTGTTTGTCATTACTCGTAAGATAAGAAACTTACCGCTGTTGGCATCGAAGAACCGGATGAAGCGGTCTTCGTGGCCAGAAATGATAGTCCCCTCAACACCTGAGCCAGCCATTGATCGTCCACCTCCAGTAGCACCTGCGCTAGCATCTTCCTCACCTATGCTACCACTGTGGTTCTGATTAGCCTGATCAAGACCGATTGTCGTCGCCACAACAGCGTTGACACTGGTCTTGTTAGACTGATCATATGTTTCAAGGCTGTCCATGTTGCCGATTTGTTCAGCGGTTCGGGTATCATAAACGATAATGGCGGCATCTGAGTACGAGACAACGAACGACTCTCCAGTGGTACCCAGAGGTGTGATGCACGTCGGACTGGCGGTGGAGCCGTCAGACCTCGAGATGTTGTGTACAAGTGTATGGTTGAAGGGCGAGTTGGAGGCGATAGTAGGTTGGGGAGTATTGGAGAATCCACTGCCGGAGCTCATCGAGTTACCACGGACTCTACCTCCGCGACCGGTCATGGCTCGGTTCGTTCCAGGTTGTGGTGAGCTCAGCTGAGGAGGTGCGCTCACTGACCACAAACGAACACTGCCGTCTGCAGCACCCGAAACAACCAAAATTCGATCCGTGCTACCGTAAGGACTTGAGCTTCCGAATATTTGACCAAGAGTTGCTGGTAGAACACAGATAGCCCAGACAGCATCAGTATGTCCTTCAAGAGTCGCCTTAGGATCGACTCTTCCACGCTCCCAAACTCGAATGGTCGCATCTTGGCCGCCGGAGAATATCCAGCCGTCGCCTTGTGCGCGACCTCCAGTTGAGAAATTCGGCGAGGGTGACCACGATGTCAAACACAGAATTGCTCCTGAGTGACCACGGTGCGTAAAGTTGGCTGTAACATCAAGGTCTGACGCTGTGTGCGCAAGACCACCAGGGTGACCGTCTAATCGAGGAATGTGGAAGCGCTTGATCATACCGTCATCTCCTCCAGTACAGATTTCTGGCTCGCCTGGGCTACCGCCTCCAGAGAAAATTATTGTGCGAACAGTGTCGAGATGACCTCGGAGTCCAAATCTGAGCTTGAAATTACCACTCTCAGCTTTTTGGGCAGCCAAAGCTAGCTCATGATCGGCACTTCGTCTTCTAGACATAGAGCCTTTTCGTCGGTGGGAGCTGTCTCGTCTGCTTGGCGACTTAGGGAGGTTATCAGCGGTAGGGAAAGCATCGGTATCAGGGCGGTTAGGTTGAGAATTGGGCTGGGAGTTTCCAGGTTCAGGGAATGTGCCCTCAGGGAACTCCCATCCATCGTTCTCAGGTTGTGCAGAGTGTTTCTCTCTAAGTTCAGCGGAATCATCCATTCCGCCTAGCACTTCTGCCGCATGGTTTGCTTGTGACATGTGATCTTCAACCGGTCGGGATGTTACTGACACAGGTGCGGGCCAGTCATTAGAGTTTTGATACATGACGGGTGGATGCTCGGACCGCACCATTGGCTGAGGCTGGTGTTCTTGCTTCTGGCCAAAGTGCTGCTGCTGGTTTTGACCATGAGGCGCATGATTCTGCTGAGATACCCTCGAGTTCATTTCTTGAGCGTGATTCTGAGCATTTCGTGTTGGTAGCTGGAACTGCTGCTGGGGAGCTGGCATGCCAAACGCCTCGACTTCCCGCAGATCCTCCATGATCGGTAGCGGGGGGGATTCTCGAGGTGGCTGCGGGTTCGCGGGGGTAATCATAAGGTACATAAATTCGGATTGGCATTGGTCAAGGAACGTCTTGAGATCTTGTCGTTGAGCTTCCTCGTCACCTCTGTCGAGCTTCTCATAGTTAACGCCATCGACACCGGGTACGGGCATATCCTCCAAAGTAGCTGGAACAATGTTAGTATTAAAAAGTCGACAAAAAGGGGCATTGCTCACATCTCAGCTTCTCTTGTATCTTAGCAGCCCGATCATTCTTAGCCGCCGTCTCTGCATCAACGGCTTCCTGCCCCTGAAGCTGAGCCGTCTGCTCCTTGACCTTTCGCTCCAGCATAGTCACATATTTCCTCAGCACGCGTTGGGTGGCATCCGCCCTCCGCGCCTGACCCTCAAGGTTGGCGATGCGGCCCTTCATCTCCTGCTTCTCAATCTCCCACGAGTTCCTATCGCGCTCATGTCTGTGCCATTCTGTCTGCAGGAATCGCATGACGCCCTGGAGGGTGTACTCGGTGGCCTGGGGGATGTTGGAGCCATTGCCCTGCATCATAGGCCCCATCTCCAGGCCGCCCACGCCGTTGCCAGCATTAGGGCCCATCGCGGCGCGCCTCTATCAATTGGGCGGGTGCATGGAGATTCGAGTCGGTTTGGGAGATATGGCGATGGAGGCGAGCGAGTGCCGGTTTCAAAGTCGGACAAGCTCGGTGCGGTTGATGGAGCGTGATGTGATGTGACGAGGCCAGATGTTGGAACTTGGAAGCTCCTGCGCGAAAGATACAACGAGCCTTGGCACGTGTTGTCGTCTCGGTGAAGATTCGGTTCTGGACTATCTGAATAGACGTCGAATCGGGATATCGTGGTTTGCTTTCTGTCGATAGAAAGTAAAAAAAATTGAGCGTCGGGTCGTGTGCTGCTAAGAAACCAAGCTTGCCAGTCTTGGTCGGGTACTTTGAGGTCGGGTGTGTCTGTCTGTTGTGTTGTCCTGTGTGGTGCCCTGTACCTCCACGCTGCTAGTTGGTGCTATCCTCTGTATTGACGCTTTGCCGCTGAGATTTTGGCCAATCAGCGTTGAACAAGCTTGACTTTGGAAATGGATGTGAGGCTGTCAGGCATCAACTTGGAACCCCTGGCTAAGGGTGCGGATCACCGATACAGGGACCGATAATCAACAGGGAATTTCAGCTCCTATCAAAAGCAAAATTTGATGGCAAACAATGCCTTTGTTTGTGTCTTATTTTAGCGCTGGTTTTTGTAAAGTTAATCCTAAGGAGTCCTTAATTGGATGCAGGACGGTGGAACATTGTGACGAAGATTGAATTCGTTACCCAACACCAGTATACTCCTGAATCAAGCTCTTGTTTGATATACCAATCACAGCAAAGTTTAGTTGATTCTATGCCTGATGATCCTTGAGCCTGGTTAGGCCTACCAAAGTGCTCGCATCGTCATAACTCCCAACTCCAAACCCAAGGCTCAAACGATAATATGATGGCATCAAAATTCTAGCTCTTCAACCTCCATACCACAATCAACACATGTCTTGACCGTCATCCCATCCTCATTCTCAACCGTTCTTCCCCATTCATGGACATGCCGCCCACCTCCTATTGCATCACCAAACTTGCTGGCACCCGACTTGCTCAAATTGCCAGCCTGTCTGCGAAAAGCATCCGTTCGTGTCTTTTTCTTCAGATCAAGTAGCTTCTCTTTGAACTTGGCTTCCTTGCGAGCTTTCTTTTGTGTCTCTCGTCGCTCATACTCTGCGTCTAAAGCCTCTGATGACCCCCACTTCGTCTTGATCGCGTATTCTTCTACTTGGCATCGAAGGAAGAGCATCATGTCGTGCCAATGGGATTTGTGAGGGTTTGGTTTTGAGAGATGTGGTAATAACTCAGGGTCTCGTAGCTCGGCTATTTCATGTTAGCGATGACAGCCCGAAAACTTGAGTGGAACAACTCACGGTCTGTAAGCAGATAATCCTCCTTGCACTCAGTCTTGGTCAACAACGAGTACTTCTCTGGATATTTCTCCTTGCACTTGTTGCAAACGCAGATATGGAAGACCTCTTCCCAGACAAAGTCGATCTCCAAGCTCTTGCAATCCTGGCACTTCTTTCGTGTCTCGTCGTCCGCAAGCACGCTCAGCCCAGGCTCGAAAGGACCTGCCTTGAGCCTCTTCAAGTTCCGTATCAGCTGCAATCTCTCCCACTCTTGAACGCTCATGTGCTTCGGTCGCTGGTCATCCTCAGATTGTCCAGGCTTCTTGCCGCCCAGAGCATAGTTATGCGGATCATCTTCCGTCGATAAGAAACCACCCTTCGTATCTGTCATGGCGCTCATGTTGTAATCGACGAACTTTGTGAACTTGCGCGCCGGCCGCAACGCCTCCTCATCGCCTTTGTTACGTCCATCTCGATTTGTTCCCTTAGAAGCATCTGCTGTAGAGATAGAGCTGTACGGTCGCTTTCCGTCGGCAGTTTTCGAGATGTAAACGTCTTCTGTTGGTACAAAGCCTCCGGAGCTCTTGGGGATTTCGGGTGCGGTGCCGGTCGCTCGTTGTTCGGCTTCACGCTGGTCTCGGATCGCCTTTGCGCGGAGTCGGTTCTCTTCCTAGATACAGGTCAGTATCTCTAGAGAATAGACATATTTACTCCGGGACTTTACATACTATGCGCTTCGTAACTTCTGGGGTCGGCGGAGTGATTGTGGGTGCAGGCTTTGTTGCCCGAGGTGGTGTAGACGGCCGTTCCATGATGAGCGATCGGAGTGGAGATCAAATACCAAAAGAACAATGCGAAGAGAAAGACAGCTGGCTTCGCCACGAAATCACAATACAAGTGAAAAAGACGAAGTTAGAGAGAAAAGGGCGATTGCAGTCGTCAAGAGAGAAGTTTGACTCAGGGTCCTCGATGACGGCGATGGGTGGCGGAGGGGCGGATTGTCGCGATCTAGAAATCTGAATTATGGCACCAATTTACACGAGAAAACGTGACTGCAGCCTACGCAAACTTTCAACATTCACCAAAATGTACATGGCTTTTGAGGTTATAATCCCCAAGTCCTCGTAATAATCTTCATGATTTTCTACATTAGATATCATTTCAAGAAATTGCTCAATATGCCCCAGTTCCTTGAATCTGACATTCGCCACAAGCAAATACTTTTGCGAGCCATGACACCTGTATTATAGTACAACCAAGGTCTATCACAACCCTAGCTTACGGTCCACGCTATCCTCCAAAGCTGGAATTCGTTTCAGAAGTCCTAGCTTACTCCTCCTTGGCACCACCACGGCCAGCGCGCTCAGCAGCCTCGACGGCCTTCTTGTCGCTCTGGGCGGGGCCACCCTGCATGGCGCTCATGAAACCCTGGGGCTGCTTGAAGGGACGCTTGAGGTCACCGGCGGCAGGCTGGCCAAAGATGTGGATCTTGACCATGTTGTTCTCGAAGGCGCTCTTGAGGGGGATGATGCTCTGGATGAGGAGAGGGTTGGTGTACTTCATGTAGATGTGCATGAAGGCCATCATGGCGATACCCATAGCCTGGCCACGGAAAGCGGTGCGGATCTGCTGGTTATCGTAGGCGTGGATGGTGGTGGTCACGAGCTTGCCCTCCTCAGTGGAGCCCATGGGGGCGGGCTCGACATACTTGAGAGTTGTGAGGTCTATGAAAGCTCATGTTAGCATTGCGATGCTTCAAATTGCCTCAGGAGAGAGGTTATCGTACCCTTCTTCTTGTTGATCTTCAGCTGGGTGTAGAAGTAGAGAGCAGCAATGATGACGTTGCTGGCGAGGTAGACGGCGCGAACAACGTTGAGCACGAAGGGATCATCGAAGGGGACGCGCTTCGACACCTGCATCATGCCCAGGATGATGATCAGGTTGGTGCTATCGCAAATGTCAGCATTCTCTTCTTTGCGCCACCAGATAATCTGCGCGACAAGCTGTCGCGTGGAGGACCACTTACATCTGAGGAGAGAGAGCCATCTTGATTAATGAGCTGAAAACACCGGTAAGGATTGAAGAGAAGAAGTAAGGAAAGAGAAAATGGCAAGGCCAAAGGATTTGGAGGTTGATGAGAATAGAGTATGAAGATGGTTGCAAAGATTAGAGTGCGGGATGAAATGGAATGAACATGTCTTTGCTGGCCTTTTGGAGAGTGGCCTCCACCTTGTGGCTTTTGCCGCACCCTTAGCCCCCTTTGGCCACTGTGGGGAAGCTGCCCGCAAACGACATGAGACAAGACCATTGGCTTATCTCGAATTTTATGGGACTTTATCTCAGGTTGTGCCCCTAATTTTCATAAGTCGGCCTCCGTTGCGTCCCCGAGCCTCATTGCGCCATTCATTCTTCCGACTTCCCATTGCTTCCATTTAGGATTTGGTTTAATCAAACAAAATCGACCTGCCATCTTGGGACCCGCGTAAACGTGAAAGACCCGTTTCTATTTTCTCTCAAAAGGCCTAGTTGCCCAGGCCTGAACAGCCTCAGCACATATGACCTTGCGGAAGCCCGGAACCTGTGTAACTGAAACCTTTGACTGGTTTCTTTGATGAAAGCGGAACGACTCGACGAGTTATGCTGAACAACCATGAGCATATCTTTGAACATTGTTCGAGTGAACATTATGTTGAAAGACGGGAATTGATGGACAAAGAGTACTCGATGTTCTCAATACGAATTGCACAAAGTAGAGTCGATGTTCTCGATTATTGTTCAGTCGAAGCTATGTTCACTTCCAAGGTTGACCCTATGGGCCGACCTTCAAGGTCGCCATGATGGACTCGTCAATCGACTACATATTTCTTTAAATAAGGTACTTTCACGAACCTTTTCTACACTCACAGACTCAGTCTTCCACGCAAATCACAGAGCCAATTCACCTCAAACCAAACCGTGACTTAAATCAGGTCTGTATACCGAATCAAAGCCCAACATGTCGTACTCATCACAACGTTACGATCTTGACGCTGCGGCAGCTAGGAAGCGAAACTCCGTCTGTTCGAACCATGGTGCTTACAGTGACTATGACCGGCGTCGCAACAGCAGGTCCTCAAGTAGTCGAACTTCTGACTCGTACTCACGCAGGTCTGGCGAATTCGAAATGCCTTACGATATGAGGTGGGAACAACAACATCATCATCCCAGGAGAGATCAGAACCTGCGCCCGAGAAGGGGCTCAGCTTCTTGCCCAGTATTGGACGATTACTCTCATTTGAACAGAGAGCGCCGTGCGAGCAATGACCGACGACGCCCTCGCTCTGACAGAGGGCGGGATCGTTCGCCACAGGAGGAGATCAACACAATGCTCAACAGTGGTCGGGCACCAAAAATCAAGCGAGGTTCAACCTATGGTACTTACATCATGCCCCTCGACATGCAAGGACAGTATCAAACTCCGGACCCCACGAAATGTACTTGCAGATGTTGCCCCCATCCGACAGGTATCTCCCATAGCCACGATAACTATGGACATATGTCCGACGTGCATGCTACCAGTCAAAGCCGTTCGCATCCGCCCCACAGATATAACCGCAAGGGCAGGCCTATCTTTGAGGTATATGACAACACAAGGAATGGAATGCGATGCGAAAACAGTTTTTCGTTTACCATTTCAGTTAACCCCCGAGCATCATGTGATCGCATCGTGGCCTTCTTGGCACCCGACAAGCGGTATGCCAAGGTTCTAGTGCACTGGAATAACGGGACGGTGCAGAAGCTTGACAGCCATGTTCCGATGGGTGATCTTCTAGAATACGCAGAATATCTCGAGATCAGGGAGGTAAAGCAGGTGCGCTGGGCAGCTTGACTACCGGCGTATCATGATGTCAAGAAGGATGTAGATCGGGTGAAGTGGGCAACCTCACAATTGGCGCGGGCGCCAGATGTGAAGATTGAAGGTGGTAGAGGAGACATTTTGTGGAGATTGATGGTTGAAGGGTGAGCAGTAAGACACGGATGAATATGATGATATCGGCGAGTGTAAGAGTAGTTTTGGATAGAAAAACACAAATATACGAGAAAATATACTCTGAGGCCTGCATCGTCAAGTCCCATGATACTGCAGTGATGAGGGGACTCCAAGAATGACAGCCTCAGCCTCCACAGTCTGCCTAAATTCAAACCATCACACGTAAAACCCACCACTCATGTAACATGCCGTGCCGTACAAGGCTGATACTGGAGTATCATGTCAATCTTCTATATTATCACTCACAACTGCTGTCCAGTACAGTACGTAGCTCTGCCACCCCCATCACCGTTGACATCGACTCACCGTGCCCTCCCTGAAAACCTCATGCAACCACTTTAAATCGTATTTTGTTGTAATTTCGTCGTTGTGTCTAAATAACCTTGTGATGCACCTGATAAAAAGTCCGGCTAGAGGGGCAGTGAGTCAAGCCTCGGTGTCTTTATGGCATGATAATACCATATTGTAGTCTCGATTGGGGTTAATGTTATGACGTTCAAGGGTTCGCTTGTCGGTTCGCTGCCGACTGTGGAGGCTTTTGCCTAAAATTGCGGCGTTGCCTTTCCCCACGGCCGGGACTAGCAACCAACAACCAACAGACAATTGCTCAGTTGGAGCAACTGTAGCTGTTTTACATCATATGTTGTAGATCAAAGGATGCAAGGCACCCGGCAGACAGCAAAATGGGATTCTTACTGGCATTGGGTTGTGGGAAAAGAGGATACATAGCCTTGAACGTGGCAATCGATAAGCGCCCAATGGAGGAATTGGGGGCCCTGCATGCAGTGCTACACTATTCATACTATCAATATATACAGGCTGGACTCTAGAACTCTTGTTTCCAGGGCAGACGCAGACACAGCCACACAGGGTTTGAACATCGTCGCACACATGTTTCTCTTATTCGACGGATATGCTCGTAGGAATTACTCCAGCCTTCTTAGCCTCCTCCTCCAGGCACAGGTGGAGTTGGACCACTCATATCGCAGGGATCTCACGAGTTTCCACCTGAACTCAACTAAGGTAGACCGGGTCACTTCGACTCCCTGCATTACATAACCTCACACGAGAGATAAACCACCAAAAGAACGCTACGGAACTAAACAACTCAGTAAAATCAGGCAGCCTAGATTCTAAAATAGAGGAACAACGTAATCAACGCACTCAAAAAATACGTCACCTATGCAAAAACTGCTCCTGAAGGAGCCGGCATGACTAGTGCGGTGTGTGTCGTGCAAGGGACACCACTTAGACGGAGACCCGGAGCATCATATAGATCGGAGACAGGGGTGCGCTCGACCAACTGCCCTTTACCTAAACCAAACCGACCCAAAAGGTATCACATCCCATGGACGGGAGCCTGGCAGTGCGGCTCGGCACGATACCTCATGCCCACAGTGGAAAATGGGGTCCGCGATAATGGGCTCGCTCACTACAACACTCTGTTGGATTGGATTGGATCGAGTCCGTTGTTGCCTATAAGACCTCTACCTTGTCCACGGACGTTCTTATACCAGGTGCCTCGGGGTTTAAAAACGCCACGAGATGCTTTCCATTCAGGCAGAAAATAAAGATCAAGACACACAAGTTCCATCCAAGCATATCTACACTTGAGCCGATATCAATCAGTTGCAAAATTCAGTTGCCTATTACCACCTCTCTTATCCCTTCTCGCCAATCGTTCTATGGGCCACCTAGGACTCGCTCACTTATACTTGTCCGTTATCAGAAATAGCAATAGCCATGTTTGGTACTTGGAAGTACGATCCTGAGACGGATGAGGTCCAGAGCGTTCGCAATGGCTTCGACCCTGTCACGGCCCGCTCCAGTTCCCACCAGGCATGCGATCGCTGTCATGAGAAGAAGGTACGTCTGCAGAAGCATTGGCTAGCCCAACAAGGCTTTCTAACGCCAAGATCTTTGCTCGCCCTTTTCGCTTAGAGCTTATTTGCTGACAATATCCTGTATAGCTCAAGTGCAGTGGAGACAAGAATGGCTGCGAACGATGTCGGAGCAATGGTCTCCGCTGCGAGTACACACGCTCCGGCTCCAAGTCTTCCAAGAAGAAGAGTAGTCCTCGCAAGTCCAACGACGGCGACAGTCCATCGAGCTCAAGCTCCCGACGAGGGGGCAGCTCTTCCAAGCGCTCTAGCAAGCATCACGGACACTCGTCTCGAATAGTCACCTCGGGAGAGGAAGCAGGGGGTGTTCTGAGCCAGTTCGACTTCTCACAGCTCAGCCCTGAAGATGGCTTCGACCTCAACTTGCTCTCGAGCGCTGATCAGAGCGCTGGAGGCTATGCCACGGCTGGACCCTCGGGAGACCAGTACAACATGCAAGCCTATGACACAAACTACCAACAGTGGGATGCATCAGGATACTCGCAGGGCTACTCCAATGAAGCCTGGGGCGGCGAGTATGACCAGAGCGCTCACACCCATGATCCGCGATACTATCACAGCGGACGCTAGCCCTGGGGTAAGGCTGACTCGGGAATATCTTAACGACATCATGACGGAAAGTGTATGATTAAACTTTTTTCACTTCTCATTATACCCCGTTTTAATACTGTTCCTTTTCTTTCTTTTGTTAGAGGCATTGTTTAACAACCCAATTTCATGTTTATTACACTTACATAGAACACAACGCTTGGACGGACCGTCATTCCTTCTGATGGCAAGGCGTACACAAGCTATGAATATCGAATGTTTTGATCTCTGATGTTCGATATGACCTACCTGTTTCGGGTGATGATACTGTGGCGGAGCGCAAGAGCTAGAGCCCAAACCGAAACGTTTCGGCCCCAGAGCTAGGGGAATAAGAATAATAATAGAAATCACGAACCGGAATTAGCGTTTATGCGTCTGTTGGTACGGGGAAAAGATGACTTGTCCACTGCATTGCATGCTGACTCTCCTCGTGTCGTTGCTGTTGGAGGAGGAGACATGTGACCTTGCATTCTAGGTAGAAGTTGGAGTTGAGGTGCCTTAGTCATCATGCACGACGTCACAAATTGACCGGGGTAGCAGAAGAGCTCCAAATCTTTTGCATCACGACTCTAAGCTTATCGCTAAGCGCCAATTGCAACTGTTACATTTCTCACTTACATATAATTCGCAAAAATGGCGAATGTATATCCAGTAGCGGCGGTTAAATCAAAGTCTGTTTTTGACTATCTCAACGATTGGGGCAGTAAGTCACTCACTCCCTCACACTTACCATTCACACTTCCCAGTATCATTGAAAATGCCCTTGTGACTCAAGAAAACAAGTTATATACTGACAACAAAACAGCTGCATCTCTCCCTCCATCTCTTCTAGCAACCCTCATCACCGCTCTACACGCGCGGCCCCCATCCCTGCCCCTCTTCATCTTCACACCTCCGCTTCTGTTCTCGTCCTACCTCAACCTGTCCGGCTATCCAACCGGCAGTGCTGGTCTAACCGCTGCCTGGTCGGGACTTTACGTGCTGTTGGCTCTGCGACGACGTCAGCCTTTCCGTGGTCGGTTCTCGGTCCGAGGGGTCGTGCGTGGCACGGCTATTGGATTGGGGGCCGCGAACTGCGTTGCTGGTGGTTGGGTCTATGCTAATGGTGATTTTGAGAAGGACGAGAAGGCTAGAGTAGACAGGAACCGATGGGGGAACTAGGATTAGCGTTGTGTTGGCTGTATGATAGGTGTTGTACGATATGTTTGTTGTATGGGAGCGTGGATTGAGACTTTAGGAGCCGTTGGTCCGGCAGTTGGGTGTGTTGGTTATGAATGAAGATGCATATGCGTCACGAAAATGAACATTTTTCTATCAATTTCACATGGCCAGGATAACAAACTAACGCCAGCAAACCTCACAATACTGTAACTCTTCGCAGTGACTCACAAGTCATCTCCCATATATCTGAGACAAAGCAAATTTCTGCATAACATCTTCTCATAGTAGAAACTGCCGGTCATGAAGTTGCAATGCTTCAAGACAATGTCAGATCATAAAGCAACACGAATTTCGACAGGCATCGGGAACGAGCTTACCACCAACAATTGGTCGCAATACGAGACGGCGAGGCAGATTTACATAAACCGAAGCGACCCTGACATACATGATGAGCCCATCATCTAGAACATGCAGAATGTTCCTTTATAAGCTGGAGTGGTAATTGACTCTATTCCCATGTTGCTGTTGTGGCTGACACATGTTGCAGTGACACCCAAATATAGCATCACCAGCCTCAATCCTACCCAAGTGTGTTAGTAATGCTATCCAGAGGATGTCCAGAGGATTAGATGAGTCAGAACGATATATATTGAAGGGGTTGCGATGCTTTGCTATCGCATATAGGACTTGAGAAAGATAACTTGGGCTTCCTTTATCATTACGATGAGTGAGACCTCCATCTTTTAGCCCAAGGCATAAACTCAAGCTTATAGCTCTAATCACGGGAGCATTGTCAGCATCGCATGTGTTGGAACTCATAAGTGATAGCACTTTTTTCTTCTGCTATTTTACCCAACGCCCTGCTATCCAGGTATCATCAATAGGTATCTATTAATACAGTTCAAATACTGTATTCCAATGCGCCTTTTGCTTCTCCCATCACATCAACAAGCAAACACATGCCTCTGTCGAAAAGGGAAATCTCCAGCCCAAAGTCTAGCATTCAGTGCCTCTCCATCTCTTTAGAATAAAACGCCAGTCCGGAAGACATTCTCAGCCCTTGATTCGTCTCCCAAAACCCATACGGCCATTGCCGTCAAATGCATAGTAAGTCATGAGTAGAAAAAACCTCGACACATCCGGTTTTCGAGTGGTAAATATGAAATCCTTCTCTTGGTGGCTCAGACACGTCGTCGCTGTCTGCTGAATCGAGGTTGTTATAAGTAAAAGGGAAAGTATCGGTTGTACATGTGTAGTTTGTGAAAAGAGCTTTTTCGTGTTCGATTGAACTTTTCGGGGGGTGAGATGATCAAAGTTTTGTTGGGATGTCGTTATCAACCGTCGCCGACTGGCCAAGGTCAGAGAAGTAGATGGTCGGGTCTTGTCGCTGTGCTCAGTTTTGATCCTGACATGAAGAACAACAGCAAGACAAAAGCTGTGAGGAAGACGGCTCGAAAAAATGTGCGCGGTTGAAACCGACTGCGATTTTTATAGACGTCTTTTGTCACGTTGGGAATTGGATTCGAAATTCCCAAACTTGAGACCTGGAAGTCATCAAGATAGTTGACATCGCATTCACGGGCTTTTGGCTCGGCGTAGCTCTTGTACTCTGCCACGACGCTCTCGGCGTCCCAGCCGGCGATCTTTCGGACAACTCCGACAACGCATCCAGTTCGGTGCTTTCCGTGATTGCAGTGAATCAACAGAGGGTAATTTGACTTGTCGAGGACAATGCTGAGGATAGCTTTCATTGTGCCCAGAGGAATGGCCTCCTTCTTGGTACCCTTCATGTTGAAGACGACTTGTCGAATACCTTCACGCTGGACGAATGTCTCGAGATCGTGATCAAGTTCTTCTTTCCTGACAAGCGTGCTACAACAGGTTAGCGGCGATGCCAAAAACGCATCATAATGGAGGCACTAACACAATGGTCTTGAGGCCCAGACCCTTGAGGTACTCGAAATCGTGAGACCTAGGAAAGCTACTTCGGTAAACGCCTGGAATGACAACACCAAAATTGTGAGGTCGGCCATTGAAAGGCGCTGTGTAGTCGGTTGATTGTGATTGATATGCCGATGTAGAGGAGGCTTGACTTGGGTTAGAGATAGTTCATTGGGACCAGATTATCTAGTGCAACTTACCACTCGAATTACTTGTTCTTGAAGATGTCGATAGGGATGCTTCCATGTTGACGGCGGAAAGGCTTCCAGATCGGCTGATATTTGTGGCATCGCGGCCATTGAAGAGGGCTTCCTCTACTTCTTGCATCGTTTCCTCTCTTGTAGAGCTTCGAGAGCCCTGTCTTGAACGGAATTGCGTGCCGTTGGGTGTTTGTTGGCCTTCTCTGGTATGCGTGGGTTCGTCCACAAAGAGTCGTGAACTGCGTTTCGAAGTCATATTGTCTAGGGTCATACAGTCTTGTTCTGATGCTCTAGGACTAATTCGGATGACTTGGTGATGTCGCTGTGACAATACCGTGATGTAGATGGCTAATAGATCGGAAGAAGGAAGTAGGTAGGTAGGTTGAAGAGTGAGATTATCGTGGGGGAAGGCGAGTTGATGTTTGAAGGCGGGATAGACTTTTAAAATCGGAAGTTTCAAGTTGCAACGGTAGGTCGAATATGCAACCTATGTAGATGCAAGTGATGCAAGTGCTCGCGCGTTGCAAGTATCGGCTACAAGATTGTGGAATTCATTTTGGCGACAATGAGCTGAACAAGCAACTTCATTCGAGTCTGGATATGGGGTGGGAGGCACGAGATCAAGTATTCAAGCGTGGGGGGAATCCTTGCTCTGAAGCAGGTCCCAGGTAATTTAGCTTGGGTCTTTGACAGGAGCTCGGTCAAGGAGAAGGAGAAAGGTGGTGATGAAAGGAAGAATGGGGCGAGGCGAGAGAGGCCAAAAAAAGATGCTGGCTTGTCTTGCTTTGAAAGACAAGGCAAGGCTGTCGTGGATTCTAGTCTTGTCTTGTCTCGAACAAGGGTCCACCAACGGATGGATATGCAGTAAAATCCCGACGATGCCAGGGACTGGGATTACTGTAATCTGCTGGTGGTGCTGCCGGGCGGAGCGGAGAGGACTGCTCTCACTGATGAAAAAGCGAAAAAGGGCGAGGAGTGACCGTAGTCGACCAACACACGACAGTAAGCAAGGATTGTCAGTGGGAAAAATCTGGTGGTGGTGATGATGATGGTTAAGTAGGAGTGACCTGGTCAAGATGGGGGCGACAGAATAACAACCAAAAGTCGATGGGGGTGTAAGAAAGAGACACTGGGACGATGACGATATGTGTGATTGGTTCTCTTGGTGCGGACTATGCCCCAAAGGGAAACTCTATCGGCTGAGCTAAGAGGACGAGGTGTGTCGGGGGTAATTTATGGTGGCCCGCGACCGACACGGAGCAGCGAGTTCAGGGCTCTGGAGCCTCCATCACAAACTACACTCCACTGACACTCACTGAGATGGAAGCGAGAGTGAAAAGTCCGCTCGGAGATACACTGGCTTCACTAGAGTAACTGCTGACTGTACAGTTGTTCCAAGATCCATTGATTAACAATCGACTAGTCGTGACAACTCAAAGATCATCCTTTGATCAGAGACATTTTCCCACTTGAAAGACTAGACCAAACCCGGGTCTTGGTTACATCGCAGACGTAGCTGCACGAGTCTCAAAGTGAATATCGCATATCAATCTCCATTGAGCACAGCATGCATTTCTCGCACTCGACACGTTTGCGTTTCAAGGTTGTCAGTCTCCCCGCGTTACCAAAAACTCTATCCAACTCTGTCGTGTCATTTCACATGGCATGCTAATTTTGTGGCTCTCTCTGTGTGTTTCTCTCGGTTGTTTAATACAAAAGTTTATGCCATTAGCAACCTTTGGCTAGCTACCGTCCACAGAAGTTTGGGAGATTTGCCGAAGCGGGCTGGTTTCTCGGCCGTCGGCACGTAGCTTACATCCAAGGTTTACACATCCCACGTCCCCATCACGATGCATTTGCAATAGGTTGATGTCGCATGCTCAAATGAAAAAGCAGAAACCATCGTGAAAATAGGCTGTATGTACACAAGAGGCCTAGAACCTCTGGTCGCGCACCTCGAAGCCCTCGAGCCACATGGTGTCTCCAAGCCACACCCACTCTCTCAACCAATCTCACCCTCTTTTGGTAAAGACGATGACGGAGACGCACGTCCTTTGTGCAAGGTATCCCCCTGGTCGGGGCGCCTCTCCAGACGCGACAGCAACAGCTCAAAATATGATGACAGCATCAAGTAACGTTAACCGACTTCATTATTTTATGCGTTATACAGCAATACGCAAAGATAGCGCCTCTTTCTTTGTTTGTTTTACCCACACGCAGCGGAAGTCCGGAGCAACGAAGATCAACTTAGAGTTTCCTGCCTCAAAATGTAAGGATATTCGTGGGCTACCGCGCAAGGCACATTTTTGCTGTAGATCAATAAAGGGTGTGCTGCTGTTGCTAACGAGTGGATGTCTTCTAACAAAAGCTCATATGGATACCAATAAGCTTGTAGTATCTTGGACCCTTTTTAAACACAGACCGCCGCTCACCTTGGATCTGAACACGCCGGTGCTCGTTTGATGCCAGCTAAAAACTAGGTTGGTGTGTTGATCGCTTGAGCGACGCATCAGCTATTGAGGGGTAACGACAACGCAGCTTTTTTTTTTTTTTTTGGCTTGTGATTTACCTGTAACAAAGACGCGCTGTGTTTTGAAAGTTTGTGATATTATAAAAAAAGAAACTGTGTTGTGCGTGGTTATGGCGTTTAAGGTCTCCAAGTGATGTCAGTCTTTGGAGGCGAGGCACGAGGTGCGGGTGAGACACGGCGTCGATCTGTCATGCTCGAGGTCAAACCTCCACGTAGCACAAATACGTATACGTATATTCAATATGCATACCTAAGCTACCGCACCTGATATTCAGATCTTCACCTTATGAAACGTCTTGAAACCAGAATCCAGACGTCGCAGAGAGACAAACGTCAAGCTGTAGCTTTTGGGTTTCCCCGCGGAGTGCAACCAATGATGCACAGCTTAAGTTAGAGCTGTTTTTGGTAGAACTTGGCCCTCCAATGAGGTACTGAGTGTTTTATTTTGTCCACCTTGCTCAACACTTGTACCGAGCCAGCCCTGAACCATTGCCGCCACAGTGATCATCATTGTAGCTTGGCGGATTCGGCACAGTCGGGGGGCCTTGTGCATGTACAAGTCCCTGAAATGATGATCCATTCTGCATCATCGCATCCTTCTTTTTTGCCCTGCATGGCTATGGGCAAATGTGCATGATTTAATAATACAAAGATGTTAATATTGCCTGACGTCTTTTTGCTACAGGCCTTATTGAGTTGCATTTTGCTTGGGTCTCATAAGCTTTGGTGCTTCACACAAAATTTTAAAATATTTTCTAGCTGAGTGAGCTGAACTGAAATGGTCTGGTTGTAAGTGGCGGAAGCATGACGGCCGGACTCGACCGAACCACCGACCTGGCCGTAATTACGGCTGTATCGGATGTCTCCCGGCGTCGCTCTTAAGATACCGGCGTCAAATAGTTCTTGTTTTTCTGTGTTAGTAATGGAATATCGCAAGATTCTAAACCGATCTTATGCTCCGTGGATATTACCAATTCATATCTCCATCGTCCGCTATTCCCGATCGTCACGGGATTTTCCTTTCCTGCAACGCACCCTTTGAAGGTCTGGTCGACGTCATTGCTGCTTACGAGACTTGTTTCGTCTCACTCCAGCCTCAATATCAGCCTCACCTAACAGCCATAGTCATTGCATTCTTCACTTCGTTGCTATATCTGGATGCTTTGAGATTATTCAATGGTATGCTGCCGTAGAATGTGCATCGCCTGCTTACACGCGACATGTCGTTTGCAGATAATCCCCTGCCACCAATCAAGTTCACGGTTGACCTGGGCGTAACTTTAACTCATGGTCCGTGAACAGCTTGAAATGTTTCGCATCGCATCCAAGGTTCAAAGACTGGAAAGTGCTCGTGTGCCCATATCAATAAACTGACACGGATACGGCATCATCCTAGATCAGAGCAGGCCTCAGTATACCAGGCTCTTCCCTGTCCGGGGAAGTTGAAGTCAAATTCAATGTCTTACACTGCGCGGGATGAAGCTTTTGCAGGAACTTTCTTACGTACATACAGCTCTCGGTGAGAGACACGCATCTCGGTCGCCTATTTTAGGAGCAACCGACCTCAGATCTGTCTCAAACATGTTGGGCGTCAAAACAATAGGACAAGGTCCCACGTGAAGACCTACGCTTTTCGACACCGAAGACGTAACGGGCCAAGCACCCGCGATATTGGGATCCTTGTGTTTCCTATTCGGTACACCGAGATCCCACGGTCTCAGCTCGTTCTCAGGGGGAGAGCTCTGCCCCAGCTCCGGGTCTAGATCCCCGAGCCAATTAGGAAGATGGAGTTTGTGACAAGCTATTGCATCTAGAATTTTTGATGTCTTGAGAATTTTGTGAGAGGCTCTTCAGCCCTGTCGACGGCAGTGGAACATGCGGGCGCCCGGCCGAGGGCACGGGAGCTGTAAGCTTTGAAGAGGGCCAATGGGGTTGGTCGTAGGAAATGAAGAATTCGAGTGAATTGAATCGGAAAGCTTTTCTCCTTGATGTTATGTTATTCTCAGTTGATATGTTCAAATTGCTCAATGCTACTGCTCAGGCATTGTCACGCAGCTCCGTGTCTCCTCAATCGAGCATGTACCCAAGACATTGGATGGACGCAAGTTGAAAGAAGCTCATCACAACTGTTTCACATGCGAAATCACCATCGGCACTTCTAGCCCGGAAACATGTTTTACCGAAGACCTTCACTCAATCATCATCGGCAGGTATCTCATGCGCCGCGTATAGTAGACGGCAGTTTCTCGAAGCACACCGAAATTGCCGGCGGCTATAATGAGCATCATGCTATCGAAATGACAGGTTCTATTGAGTTGGCACATATCCCAAGATATCGTCAGATCATCTGCAAAGCTATTGGCAGTTCTCTAACCGATATCTTGGTACATATGCAACTTTGTTGTCGGTCGAACCGAGCTTCCGGTCTCGGTCTAATTGCATCACGATTGAGTGTCGTGAGATTGAAGTTGTGGACCTTGATGAGGCTACCCTGAACTGAAGCATCACGTTGATGTTCTCAAGATCAAGAACGCAAAACCATTGAATATGTAACATGATCCATCAAATGACTATTTGTAATTGCCAGACCAAGGCAGTGGCTGATATTTGCATTTCAATTCGTGTTTTGGTATCATATCATGTTGACAATCTGCATAGAGTTGACCCTACTGCAACGAGCCCCACGCCTCGACATGTTAAGCCGAGCCGTGAAGGGCTCCTGAAGTCTTTATCATCAAAACTGAGCCATTTGTTGTTACATTACTACTCACCATTGATAACCGATAGCCAATAAGACTTTCATTTCCGTACATATGCCCACATTACAATGACGTTGAGCTCAAGTAGGATGCATCAACCCCGCTGAGGGGTTGATGAGGCATTCATATATTAATACGCATCCTCTGCCATTCTCAACTCTTGTCCTTCAACTCAATTCTTTGACAGTTATCTTGTCTCAATTTAGTAACTTTGTTTCGAACACTACTCACATAACTTTCGGTACGATGTGACAGCGCACGACTAAGGAGCAATGGCTCTCTTCGCAATTATTACCATGTATCAAGGTAACGTTTAAAAGAACGCATCCGGGTGTTCAATTGCCTCTATGCTCTGTACCTCCCCTCATCTCACAGCATGTCTCATTCACCTTCAATGGTGGTGACTTCACATGGTGATTGAGGACAGGCAGAGCAGGGCAGTTGATCTGAGAAATACCGGCGAACTTGATCTGGATAATACCAGCGAAAGGACATGCTTCTTGACATCCCCCCCTTGCTCCGGGTGACCGGGAACTAACCCTAGCAGTACACCACTTGATCTTTCATCATGTCGACTGATAAGATCACTTTCCTCACCAACTGGTACAACTGACTTGCTTTAGAAAACGAACTTGTGTTGACTGTTGTTAGGCACGCTACGCCTTACCATGCGCCGCTGTACCTAGCCCAGGCCAAGGGATACTTTAAGGAGGAGGGAATCAAGGTTGCTCTTCTTGAGCCCAACGATCCTAGTGTAAGTGCTTGTTCTATGATGGATGGCGATCAAGACGCTGATGGCCTCCCAGGATGTCACTGAGATCATTGGTACTGGCAAGGTCGACCTTGGCTTCAAGGCCATGATTCACACTCTGGCTGCCAAGGCTCGAAACTTCCCCGTCCAGTCCATCGGTAGTCTTCTCGACGAGCCATTCACTGGCGTCGTCTACCTCAAGGACTCTGGCATCACCACCGACTTCCGCACCCTCAAGGGCAAGCGCATCGGCTATGTTGGTGAATTTGGCAAGATCCAGATTGACGAGCTTACCTCGCACTATGGCATGACTCCTGATGACTATACTGCCGTGCGCTGTGGTATGAATGTCTCCAAGGCCATCATCAAGGGCGAGATCGATGCCGGTATTGGTCTGGAGAACGTCCAGATGGTTGAGCTCGAGGAGTGGCTCTCTGCCCAGGGCCGTCCCAAGGATGATGTTCAGATGCTTCGCATCGATGAGCTCGCAGAGCTCGGCTGCTGCTGCTTCTGCACCATCCTCTACATCGGTAACGAGAAATTCCTCGCTGAGAACCCCGAGAAGGTCCGCTCATTCCTTCGTGCCGTGAAGAAGGCCACCGACTTTGTCCTCGCCGAGCCCGAGAAGGCCTGGGCTGAGTACGTCGACTTCAAGCCCGTCATGGGCACCGCGCTCAACCACAAGATCTTTGAGCGCAGCTTTGCCTACTTCAGCAAGGACCTCAAGAACGTCAAGCGTGACTGGGAGAAGGTCACCAAGTACGGCAAGCGTCTTGGTGTTCTGGACGAGAGCTTTGAGCCCAACTACACCAACTCGTACCTCGAGTGGACTCTTTCTGGAGAGTCTAGTGACCCTACTGGGGACCAGAAGCGTATTGCTCAGCTTCAGAAGGACGTTGCTGCTTCTGGTGGCTTCCACCGTCTTCAGGCTGAGGTCAAGGCTTAATTGAAGCTCGGGATGATACGAAGGAATATGGTTTGACCTAGTACAGATACATATCTGATACACTCTCTTATGGTCTGGAGGAAGCTACAAGGTCACTCGTTTAGTAGGCTCTGCCACACCAATATCAAGTAAACTTACTCTCGTATTTTCAGTCCATTTACGTGAAGTCTGTTATCCCGTGACGATGCTGGCCTTGGACTGGAATGTTGACTGCCACCACGTTGATGAACCGTTTCCGGCCAAACGGCTGGGCGGCTGGATTAGCCGTTTCCTAAAATATGCATCTCTGTAAGCGCATTTCTTTCGTGCGGCTGAGATTTCCATGTTGAAACTTCTATCCGGATGTAGAATGAGTGAAGTTTACTACAGCCCTACACGAACTGAGACATGCTGACCGAGCACCCGGAAGCCACTCGATCTTAAAAGGCTGACATGATAAGGCCGGTATATTTAAATCTTGAAAGACACAGTGAGAGTTTCTTAGAGAGCTTTCACAGAGAGATTTCTGAGTGTATGTATGAAAGGAAGGTATTATAATATTGGTGGCGTTGAAGCCTGCTTGGTGTATATGCACGATGCCTATCTACATGTGACCCAAGAAACATTAAAGAATTTGCATTATCGTCTTCGAAACTCATAGAATTTATATCGTGGAGGGAATATGTGCCATTATGGTGTAAACTCAAGAACGTGCTCTGGGTGCGGGTTGGCGAGGAAGTCTGGGGGCAGTGTACCAGGAGGAGGAGCCTGAATCAAGGTTCATTAGCATTCTGGGCAGGGATCAAATTAGAAGACGCTTACCTGAAGCTTCTCTGACCACTTCTTGATATCGTTGTAGTTCTTGCAAGTGTGTTTGGTGTTGAAGTCGGGAAACGCGCTGGGGTTCTTCCTATCATACCAGACTTGTCCAAGAACACCAGTATCAACGTTGCACATGAGAACTTGGCGAATTGTATCGAGACAGTGTGCTGTAGCAATTAGCTTTGACTGGTATCGAGGAAGGGTGAAAGTGTAACTTACTGACGTGCAGGCGGAAGACTTCGCCTTCGTTCTTGAAGGCATGTCCACCCAGGGCCTTGTAGTGGTCGTAATTGAAGTAGAGAGACTTGCGGACGAGGTTCTGTAAATAAGTAAGTGATTGTCGCGCTTACGCTTGTAATTGAGTTCATACCAGACAGTGAAGGTGATGCATGCCCTCAACATTAACAATGAAACCGCCGCCATGCTCAGGACTAACTTGGACATGGGCATCAGTGAGACCGCTGGCAATTCCGTCTTCATATGAGATGACACCAGGTCGATCTAATCAATGTTAGCCAAAAAAATTAGCAATGCTGTTTAAGTGGTAAACACATACAGTCAACACCAAGTGATTCCCACGCTTCATCGACTTTAGCAGAGCCGTTCTTGCGGAAGTCATTCTCCTCCATAAAGTTTCCATCAAATGGTTGTTCGTGGTATTTTATCGAAACGTCCTTCAGAACCGGTGCTGCAATCGAGAGGTCAATTGATGATTTTAGCTGGGGTCATTGATTTGAGGACTTACACCATGATGTTGTGTGTGCAGCACATGTCTGGTCAATGTTGAGATATGCCATTGAGATCCAAGCACCTGAGAGTGCTGAGATAAAGATAATTGAGAGTAAAGTGAAGATCCATCCGACGCATCTGCATGCAGAGCAACGCCGCCTTCGAGGAGGGACATAATGGTAGGATTCTGAGTCTTCATCTGTATCTTGGCCATCGACGAGAGGGTTCAAGAGGGCAGACTCTTGTTCTTGCTTGGGAGCCATATTTACAATGATTGCGAGCTGTGAAAAATGAGAGAGAACCAATTGATGAAGAACTTGTGTTTAAAAGTGAAGATGAATCTGAGGAAGACAAGAATAGAGTCAGAAATGAGAAGAAGGAAATAACCCAAAGCTCTCGGGGTTCTGATAAAAATTAGAACGGGAACTCTCGAGACCCTTAACATGACGATATTGAGCGTCTGACACCCATAGTGCCAACCCAATGCACACTGCCGATTCAGCCGGCGCAGCCTAGCAAACTCTCATGCTCCCAGATGAGGCAATCCGTGGTTATCACAGCCCTCACAAAGGTTCTAGACATGGGCTTCGGAAGAGAAAGCTTTCGAGCTAGAGCAGTGAGATACGCAGAGTGAGATACTTGATAGAACCAACTTACACGACAAACGAGGCGGGCACCAATCACTGACATCCAGATAAGAAGCGATCATACCTACATCGACATAGCGCACCTCGTGAAGAAAGGCTGAGATGTGTTCAGGCAGGGCTGGATCCCGCCTCCGCATCCGACTTGGTATCGCGCTAATGTACCAAGACCAGAGAAGCTTGCACTCCGTGACCAAACGGATCAGAAACTGTTGGAAGTATCTCGCCGCAGAGGGCGATTAACTTCCCACAACCGTGAGGCTGAGGTGAATCTGACCAACAATTCTCCCTGCAGAAAGCCACAATCACTACTGTGACACTTTGGCGACACTTTTAAAAAAAAGATGGCTTTGGTAGTTAAGGTTGTAATTGTTGGTGTTGACTAAGACGTGATGGGAATGAGGCTTGCGGGGGTTGGGCAGAACGTTGGTCTTGGTGGTTTAGCTATACGAAGTAGATCGCTTCTATTCCGTACTGCCGAAGCTTTTTTAATTGACGACATCGAACCCCATGATTTGCAATTGGGACGGGTAGATCATATCGTATAGCAAGGGTTTAGATCAATCCGAGACATTTCCGCCCATTAACTACATCATGACATCCCAAAATGGGCAACCGAAGATTGATCTCATGCACGTCTGACACGACATATAAACTTTCTTGTGCTATTTACAGTGTGTCTTGGAAAGAATGTCCGTCTCTAGACTCTTATCCAACGTGCATTAGCTCGTTCACTAAGACACCTTGATCATCGTGCTAGTTGCCCAGATCGTGGCTGTTTTCCCAGATGGGGAAATTCTGCTGATTTTTGAGCTGGCTGCAAGCCTCGTTCTAGAGCTCCACGAGGCTTACACGAGGGCTTCCCGTGTATCTCTGCAGCCAGCCACGCTCAACATCAAGCTAACAAGGCATCACGATTGCTAAGCTAAGGTAGGACTCAATGATGCAAAGCTTCTCAGAAACTACGCGATCATTACCATGAGAGGGAAGACAGAGAGTGTTCAGCCTTGGCGTGGTCCAATGGAGAGCCTCGTCCGGATGGTGATCTCCTCCACTTGCAAGCTTGAGTTAGCTGTGAGACTGATACGAGGTTTTGCTTTTCTAGCTTAGACTTCACAGGTGTTAGTCTAAGCAAGCTGATGAGCTGTCTCATGCCGTAAGATCCGACGCCATCGTCGAGTTTCGCTTGGCGGACGAGTCGGGATCTGGAGAGGTAGACTTTCGGAATCGAGAGCTTCCAGTGTGATTCTGCAAGCTAAGGTTTTTGATCAAGATGATCATGAGATACTTTTCTGTACATCTAAGAGGCGTCCATCCTTGTCCATAAAGCCGGAGGTCCCATCCCGAGCTGAAGTGTTTCCTCACCACCCTTCTCACCCTTCTCCTCAGCCTTAACTACCCACCACTCACCCTCTTCTCCGTTCATTGACACTGCCATCTTTCTGTCTTTCTTCAGACATCAAAATGAAGCTCACCGCTGTTACACTCCTCACTCTGGCTGCGGGTGCCATGGCAGCCCCGGTTGCTGAAGCAGCTCCGGAAGCAGCACCAGGATATACTACCTACGGCGATTATAAGGGAGCAGGTGAAAACCTTCCATCTTATCCTAGCTACGGAAGCTATGGTGCAAAGCCAAAGCCTAAGCCTAAGCCTGCTCCGGCTCCTAAGAAATATACCAATTATGGTGAGAGGTCCTTCAAGTAAGCTGCAGTTCACACACTGACACTCTTCCAGGAAGCTACAATTATAAGAAATACTCAAGCTATGGCCATTACAAGCGTGAGGCCGAACCTGAGGCTGCTCCCGAAGCTGCTCCCGAAGCTGCCCCTGAAGCTGAAGCCGCTCCTGGATATACTACTTATGGAGATTATAAGGGCGCCGGTGAAAACCTCCCATCTTATCCAAGCTACGGAAGCTACGGCGCAAAGCCTAAGCCTAAGCCCAAGCCTGCTCCGGCTCCTAAGAAGTACACAAATTACGGTTCGTTGTCCACCTCCACCCCTGAGATTCTCATACTGACTGCCCCCCAGGAAGCTACAACTATAAGAAGTACTCATCTTACGGACATTATAAGCGTGAAGCTGAGCCCGAAGCTGCTCCTGAGGCTGAAGCTGAGCCAGAGACCTACTCCAAATACGGCTCATACCCTAAGAAATATACCAATTATGGTGAGCCAACCTCCTTCACATTGCAACAACACTCAACTGACACTCACAGGATCTTACAACTACAAGAAATACAGCTCTTACGGCACTTACAAGCGTGCCAAGGAGTTCATCAACTCTCTCTTCTAAGCTCAAAACTGAAATTGACATGATGATGAAAGGGGTGTTGGAACTGGGACAGTACACGATGACACAACGCGCATAACTGTTCTTATGAACGATTTACGATTCTCAACGAGAGAAATGTTTAATGTTTTATGTTTGGAATGAGTTTGGACTTGATGTAATGGAGTATTTTGGTATTGAAGGTGGTGCGGGTTTACCGTTAGATATATTCTTAGACTCTCTTTAATACTATTAGATCTTTGCTCCAACTAAGAATCTGGTGAAACAATTGCTATCAGTTGGAATCCAAAAATTGAATGATGGGGGTTGTTCTCCGATGTCGGCGCGATGAGGCCCGTCGAGCCTTTGCACTTCGTTGCAGTGGCAGCTCATCCGTCATTTTATATGCAGCTATTCCAACCGGCCAACTCAGGATCCAAGAGGCCACAAGAGATGCGCTACTGAGATAGGTAGCGGAAGTCGACTCAGATAAAGACCTCTTTTTACCTTTCCATACTCTGAGCAAGCAGTCCCTGGAATTCACTCCTACTACAACTCGGTCCGGGCTAAACACCCATATATTATTTCTGATCCCATCATCATGACTGAAGGCATCAAGGCCATCTTTTCCTTGGCTGATGCGTACAAACCCACGATATTTGTCTCCAGAGACGCAGCGCAAACGTCAAGACCGCACCCTCGCACCTCTGCGTCCTCCCCGTCACCATCACATTTTCACGCCTTAACATTCTTGCGCTATTGTTCTTCTGCACTACTATGTTCTTCTCATTATAATCAACATTTTACACTATCGCCTTCTTGAGCTATCATATTATCATTCTCGCGCTGTCGCGCTGTTATTAGCTCTCACGCCATTCCGCTCGTGCCGTCACGATCTCTCCGTCACGTTTCTCCCGCCGTTCCGTATCTCGACCTCACCTCTGCAACAAGCGTTGCGTTTTACATTACTTTTCAACTCATATCAAGCATCCGTTTCACTCCATGCTCACACCCTAGCCATTCGAGCAAAGACATCGACTACCACCGCCTGTTCTCCGAGCCACTTACAAAGCCCGGTGGCACTAACTCCACGAGGGATACCTACGTGCACTTCAGCTATATGGCCGAGAAGACCAGCTCGTTAATAGCCACAAGGTCCACCGTTACGACAGGTGGGTAGCTCGGTACCCTGAGCTACATCAATCATACCAAGACCAAGCCCGTCAGGACGGGTACAACCCAAGTGGCAGCTCGTCAAACCCATTTACAGGCACCCACTTCCCTAACCCTCCGGTAGGTGGACCATCTCTCAATCAAGCCGACACTGATCCAAGTGACATCTATCCACATACTCCGCAGCGTCAAGCGACGTTGACCCAAACCCAAACCTCGCCATCCTCCCCCGTGACTGAAGCCATCGTAGACGACATGGCGCCTCCTCGACGCGACGCAAGCGGTCGCTTTACTCCCGGAGAGAGTGCATTCGCATATCACACCGGAAATGTCAAGGTAAAATGCTAGGCAGAGTGCCGGGACTGCAATCGGCGCAGCAGAGAATGCGCTTCTCTTGGCAGAGCTTATCAAGAAGCTTCTTAATAACAAAAGCACCACCGAGCTACGCCAAGAAACCAAACCTATTCTTACAACCATGAGAGACATCAAGGGTCTCACCCCCAGCGTCACGAAGATTAAAGCTGAACAAGCCCCTCAGCTTTCCAACCAGTTGGGATCGGCCCTTGTGGCCATCCATCACTCTGGCGGTGGTACCAAAAACGTGGCCCAGTCGTTGGACAACTCTCACAATGATGGCCCTTAAACGTCTTTAACGGCGTATATAATCCCAACCCTCTGCTAGGCGGACCCTCCTGACAAGAAGCACATACCAACGCAGACCTCATCTTCCCACACACACCCCAGCGCAAACGTCAAGCGATAAGCCCCGAAGACCGTTCTGGAAGAGACACCATGGCGCCTCCGCGACGAACCCCACGCGATTCAAGTGGTCGCTTCGCGGCATCCGAAGATGTCTTTTCCTACCACACCGGCAACGTCAAGGTGAAGACTGGGCAGAGTGGCCGCAATGCTATTGGTGCTACAGAGAATGCTCTGCTCTTGGCGGAAATCTTCAAGAAGCTCATTGATGCACACATTCCCCAGAGCTGTGTCAGAAGGCCAGCTCCATCCTTACATCCATGGGAGGTATCCAGGGTCTCACCATGAGCGTGGCCGCGATCGTAGCCTAGCAGGCTCCTGAGCCGGTATCTGACCAGTTTGGATCGGCTGTTCGGGCCATCCATGACTCTGGTGGCAGCGGAAGTGCCAGAGGCACATCTGAGTTAATAACTCCCCCACTCCTATCGATCTCACCAACTTCCCGTCTGCGCGCAAGAGACGCGCGACTGAAACCACCGAGCCCGACTCTGACGAAGACCTTCTCGCGCAATTTGACGAGCCGGCAGATCAAGCCCAGGACGTCCTCCCCGTCATCCCACGGCGTTGGCCCTGCCATACATCATCGAAGACTCCATCGCCATCGGCAATGGCCGCAAGGCTATATTTTCTCTCATTTTAGCGGAAGAGAGTATGATCTTCACGGCTGAAGATGCTGCGCTAACCTTTGGCGCACCTCTTATGTTTCTGCGAAAGAAGGTTTCCAAATCTCTGCCGCATGGCGGGTATTGACAAGTCCCTTTTTCTGTCTTTTGACATGCCTCTCTATCTCCCAAACCCGGGATCAACTGCTGTGGCCTCATATATCAGCGCGGTCGCTGATCTCAGTATCTTCTCCAATGAAGCGGAGACTCAGAAACTAGCCAAGGAAATCATTGCATCGATGCGGTTCGAGAACTGGTAGCCCTCTGCTGGACTAGCCATCCAGTACGAGCGGCCTGACACACCCGCGGAGGGCTTCGTCCCAATCCAAATTGTCGCCGACAAGTTGACCCATTTGGGTCAGCCTTGGAAGCCGCTGACAGTCAGTAACGGGCATAAATGGCCTCCGGTCATTTCCGCAGAGGATGCTCGCAAGCTTCGCTGGGAAAGCTATGATCAGATTGGCCAGCCTTCCCAGGACAACTAAAACCAGCAGGTCACGCTTTTCTACACTTCTTTAGTCATGTTGTCTGCCGGTTTATTACTCAGGTCGCTTCCCTTGCTTAGAAGGATAAGCAGGAACAGACTAAACTGGATGTAATAGCTAAGGTAGTAATCATAGTCTCTACACCAACACCAGCATTACTGGCAAGGCCAATACTACCAGTCCTTACTTAATTAATTTGTTTTCCCAATGAATAACTGACATTCCCTGTGCTTTTTTAATATTTCCCAGGTTGTTTGTCCAAGTCTTCTCTTGCCTTGTCGTGATATTGTTTTGCTGTGTTGAGTCTTTCCTCCTGCCGTGTCAATTGATCCAGGAGATGTTACCTCCTTCCTTTGCTTGGTCTTTCCCTGGGAAACCGGCCTGCCACTCTTTCCCAGACTTGCAACCATGGATATCTCTTTGACCATCTGTTGTTTTCTTTCTTTTCCCCTCCATCATCACCATCAAGATGGCCAATAAACAAAGCAAGGGCTTATGGTTCAATCCCATTATCATCGACGATGAGCAAGGTATGACCCCTGATACCAGCAACCGTCCAGCCCATTTCACTAACAATTTAGATGTCATCAAACTGGAAGACACCGCCCCCTTAGCCCGTACCGCTCCCCTGGCGAGGAGTCCTAATCCCTTGGCTAGTACTACCATCTACCTACCAGTCCGGTTCGGAACAATGCGAACAAGGAACCAACTTTGTCGGCCACTCGAGGGTGTTCGGAACAAGTCACCAGATGAGTTCCATCTCAAAATCGATCAAGCGTACGGACACTTTTGTCACAAGTTCAGAACCACACAGCAGACCTACCTTGATCAAATCAGTCCAATTATTACAACAGGAAATTGTTTCTCGGCATTCACCCAGATCTTTCCCTCCGCAAACCTTACCCAGGTTATGCAGCTTATGCTACGTGCAGAGAAACGACAAACTTGGGCATTATTCCATATGTATGATATCAACTTCTCAATCTTCAAGGATGCCCTCCCTCGGCAACAGAGCAAACGGTTTTATATCCCCATTGACCTAAGCCGGGATCAACGTCAAGGGATCCTCACTTTTGAAACAGAGGTCTTCCACCGCTGCAACTGGAGACGGCATCGACCCGAGACATGTTGCAATTGAGTCATATGCGACCAACTTATCGCGATCCGCCTGCTTCAAGCAGGCCACAGGGCACGAAAAGTGCCCAAGTATTAGCCACTTCTATAGAGGTTGGCCTAAGTTTAGGCATAACTTATGATCATTGTGTCCTAAGATTTATAATATTTCCTAAGTTTATGCATAATTTACCCTAAGCTTAGGACCAGGCACGCTAAGGTGTAGAAGAGAATAGAATAGGAGACGAGGATTGGATTATGGACCACATCGCGACATTCACAACCCGCCTTGCCTGCTCCAACAGGCGGTCTTACCTACGCCGGCAAAAGTTGAGTGGACTATGGTTGGAAAAACTCTTCCTACCCGACAAATGGACTGCAAGAACGCAGAACTACTCACATCTTCCACACAACTTACCCAGTTTAACTGGTTTAACAAAAAAAAACCAGTTGCCATTGTTCAATTTGAGATATTAGGAATTGATCACGAGTATCACGGCACAGAGGCCCCGGGAATGATGTACTCTAGTGTGTTTGTACTGGAATTAATGGAAGGATAAAATAAGAGAGCAATGCTAAAAGAGGTTTTATTTTTGGGGGAAATAGTTGTAATTACTATGAAATGGGCTTACAGTCTCGACATCGCGAAGGAACTTGAGAGCATAAATTCTATAGCGTCTGATACGATCAAAGGAGCTCACTGCCAGTAAACTTAATGAAGAGGTCGACAGGATAGTAAAGGGTGAAGGTTTAGCATGATGGATCATCTATTTGCCTGGATGCAACTGAAAGATAAAGCGCAGTTCTTTGCAGAAGTCGAACTTCTTTGATCTTACTTCCAACCTCGGAAGAGGTCTTCTATCTTCTTTACTCTTAAAATTCGCTTATTCCAGGAGTTCATAGTGAATATTCCTTGCTAGCCATTCTTTTAGATAACCTTGAACGGCAGTCGGCCGTGTCGTTCGGTATAGTAGTCATGGTGGACTATGAAGACCGTAATGGGATTGCCCAGAATGCCAATATCAAAGGCAAGTGTGCCAGTACTACTGAACTGGTAATTAGTTTGTTGATATTACAAAGTTTCCTGATCTTATCAATCAATTAGCTAGTCTGTTGGCGTTGAGCATGTGTCCGAGTGCTTACAAACAACGAAAGATGAACCGAAGCAGAGCCACCAGGAAATGCACAGAAGGGTAGATTTGCTGGTGAATTCCTCTCCTTGTCAACTTAATAAGCTAAACTTCAATTGTGCCCTCAGTGGTATCACGAGATTGACAGCCTTGGCGTGAATTGGTAGCTCTTCTATGGTTTGCGGTGGATTTCCCATGGTTAGCTTCCTAACCATGCCCTCTCGAGATACGCCGAAACCCCGAAATATCATGTCAATCGCTCGACTTCGGCGAAATACAAAAACGGCTCTCACCATCGGCTCCCATTAGGTTTTTATCCCATCCTTCCATTGGACCGCAATTCTGGGGTAAAACGGATCCCTGGGCCATAACCCGCAAAGATCGACAAACTCAGCACCATAATCTTGGTCCGGGGAAATCTAATAACACGATGCCGTCACCGCTTCAACCCCACACAAGAGAGAAAATGTCTGTAAGTGGCAATCGGTACCGCAAGCACATATGAATTCCCGTGTAAATCGGAGTATCCGTGGCTTTTTACTGAGAGAGCATGACCGTTACATCCCCACATCTTCCCCGCGATTTCTTATAAAGAACAGGTTTGAATCGGTCCGAAAAGTCTGGGGATCGACTAACACGCGGAATTTCAGTGCTTTCGGTTCGGAATAGATGTTGAATTTTCACGGCAAGGACGGATCATGATGTTGTGGAAGTAGGTAGTATGAGCATATATATCGTGGGATCGCGCGGGCTGTTTTGCTCGTTAGTTCTGTGTCTCAGTCGCCCATCATGACACCCTCACACGCTGTGATACAATTCCTCTTTGCGTCTCTGGCTGTCGGCCAGCAGATATATCTTGATGCCAAGGGTCCTACTGAGCGTCCTCAATGCAAGGCTACAAAGACACATGAGCCGAAATATACACATACACCGTTTAGCTATACCCTCTCTGAGACTGTGAGATACGCTACTTCGGTGCCATCTCCTACTACAACAACTACATACGCCAATCCACCAGAGTCCCTCATCTCTCTCGTGCCCTCACTGTCATTCACAACCTGGGGAAAATGGGACCCAAATGCTACCACAAAGGCCTCTGATACAGATGATCCTTATGGACGAGCCGCATGGACTGCTCTCTGGGAACATGCAAACCCTCCCAACTTCACTGAGACGGGAATCTTCAGCACAACTGTATCTCCCACTCCCATTCCCAGTAGTGAACTAGTCCTCCCTCCTCGGGATTACTTTGGTCCATCGGATTGCTACAACTTCTCCAAGAACTTCAGCTTCGGAGTAGCCAGTTCTGCGAGTCAAATCGAGGGCGCTACTGCAGAAGAGGGCAAGGCGCCTTCTCTCATGGATATTCTCGTCCAAGATGGTCGTGTCAAGGATTATGTCACGAATGAGCACTATTACTACTACAAGCAAGACATTGAGCGCGTTGCTGCGATGGGCGCTAAGCATTTCTCGTTCAGTATTGCGTGGACACGAATCCTGCCTTTTGCTCTGCCTGGAACGCCTGTTAATCAGGAGGGTATTGACCATTACAACGATGTGATCAATTTTATCCTTGAGAAGGGGATGACTCCCGAGGTTACCCTGCTTCACTTTGACACGCCTCTTCAGTTCTTTGGCAGCAATCTTACCAAAGCTGCTGATCGACCTGAGATTGGATACGTCAATGGTGGTTATCAGAATGAGACTTTTCAAGATGCCTTTGTTCACTACGCAAAGGTTGCTATGGCGCACTATGCTGATCGTGTACCTGTTTGGTTCACCTTCAACGAGCCTCTACTCTACTCATACAATGCTCTGTCCATCAACAATGTTGTCAAGGCCCATGCGCGAGTTTATCACTGGTACAAGGAGGAGCTTGGTGGAAAGGGAAAGATTGCGCTCAAGTTCAACAACAACTTTGGTGTACCCCGAGATCCCAAAAGCGAAGCTGATGTCTACGCTGCGGATCATTTCAACTCTATTCAACTGGGACCTTTCTGCAATCCGATTTACCTGGGCGAGGACTATCCCGAGTCATTCAAGAAGACTTTCGATGATTACGTGCCCCTAAGTGAGGACGATCTCAAGTACATTGGCGGTACCGCAGATTTCCTGGGTATTGATCCATACACTGCTACAGTCATCGCACCACCCGTCCCAGACGAAAAGGACAGTATCCTCGAATGCGCCTCAAACTCATCCTCAACCTTCCGTCCTTACTGCGTCAACCAAACCACCACAACCGTCAACGGGTGGAACATCGGCTACCGCTCCCAAAGCTACGTGTACATAACACCAACCTACCTGCGCAGCTATCTCAACTACCTGCACAACACATGGAAGACCCCCGTCGCTCTCACAGAGTTTGGTTTCCCCGTTTACGGCGAAGCTGAAAAGGATCTGTCTGACCAACTGTTTGATACGCCAAGGAGTATTTACTACTTGAGTTTCTTGTCTGAAACGCTCAAGGCGATTTGGGAGGATGGTGTCGAGGTTGTTGGAGCGTATGCGTGGAGCTTTGCGGATAATTGGGAGTTTGGGGATTATGATCAGCATTTTGGAATACAGACTGTTAATAGGACGACGCAGGAGAGGAGGTATAAGAAGAGTTTCTTCGATATGGTGGATTTTATGAAGGCGCGTGGTGTGGAGTGAACCGACTAGGAGGATTGTATCTAGCTGAATCATAAGTTAATTGCTCGATCATGCCTTGAGTGTGCGATGTTTGACTTACAAATAGTTTTCATCACCAACCCCTTCATTCATGGCTGCTCGCCCGTTAGGAGCATGAGAACCACTCAAGATACGATGGTGATATAAGGGGGAATCCTATCGACGACAGAGCGTACCACCTCCAAGTCTCTCTTATTGTCAAGCCAGTATTCTACCCTCCACGTAGACGAAGAATAGATCGAGTGTCGGACCATCTCTAGCCATGCAGAGACTGTGGAACGAAGTTGTTGATGCCTCGGCCGTTAAAGGGAGACTCTCGTCTATCAACTTCGTAGTTTATGTGAGTGAGATGTCTCAAGCAAATAGACAGAGAGTGTTCCTTAGAGGCATACAAGATGGTTGAACGAGGAGTTACCAGTCTCGTAAGATACCTACCTCAGATGCTTAGGTACTGTCCATCCAGCCTCTTCGTACCTTGGATACTCCGTTGTAAAGCCTCGAAGCGTTGCCGTGAACCTGACCTCACCTTGCTGAACTCCGTGTGAGTCATGGCCACCCGATAGCATTCTTTCTAGACCCCTTCATCCTGCTGCGGTGAGTCCTACGACCATCCCCTTGCTCTCTTACCTTCACTGCCAAGACATTCTCCTGAACCGTCGTTTTACTCAACCCGACTTTCGGCACTCACGGGCTCTTCACAACTCCTCATTCGCCACTACACAATACATCATGATCTATCCTCCCTCAAAGCATAGACCACGCAAGCATTGATCATATACCGTCCCCAATCCCAACTTACGATAAATTCTCTAGCGTAGCAACGAATGCAGGATCCGTGGATCTCCCCAGACGGCTATAACGTAATACTTCCCCAGGATCAACTGGGGCCCCGGATTTCAGCCCAAGTCTTGGCTTTTGAGGGGTATTGGAGCATCGTTACAGTAGATTCTTTTAATTTGGTATGCAGTAGTGTTGAGGAGACGCGCAAGTATTCACCTTGATATCTCTCGGTGTGGACAAGGATGTGCACTAGTTGACCTTCGCTTGGAGTTTTGAGACATATAAACTGGGCGGCAAGGTCAAAATGTTAGTCATAGTAAGGCATCTTTTGATGAGTTTAGTATAGTTATTGTCTTAAGGTTTAGTTATTTGTTTGTTTAACGTACGATAATCCTAACGAGGAGTCGTAGGCTGCGGGATCTGGCCTCTGAATGCTGTAAGGTGACCCGCAAGGCGTTCAAGATTGACGATAGCTGCAAGGATGTTCGGATCCGATTTGATTGACGTTGAATAAGCGACTGTAGCACGTTCCTCTGGGAGCAAAGGGAATGGTGCCAGCGTAGACATTTACTCTGAATAATGTTGTGTTCAGCCACTTGTTGCCCGATTAGCAGACTGCCTATCCTACGCCTTACGATCACTTCAGCAGGTGTCAAGTCCTTATCTATGCTTATAATAAACCTTCAATATGTGCGGGATTCAGCCTAAGCTTGTCAGCTTTTGACAGAGCAAAGTGGGTGTGATTGAGCGCCCGAGGCTGGCTTCACGTCCCGGATCGACAGTGCATCGAGGCGTACACCAAGGCACGATTTTTCACCTCTCAATCAGCCCTCGTGTGATAAAACTCACTGCAAATGTCTCAGCCTCTTCCGAGGCTGAATTTTCATGACACAAAAGTTTGTAATAGAATGTTGGTCCTCGCCGAGCTAACTAGTCATGTCCCTCATGAATGTCTTTCCCCAAATCCTCTGTGCAGCATTATCATCATCATCATCTGTGCTTACTATCTATTCCCTGCCAAGCAAAACGTCTGGACCGTTCAGAAAAAGTGCGGAGAGAATCCCTGACGGCCACAATAGGAAAGTGATTCCCGCTGACGACGGGCTCTCCGCACTCTGAACTGGGGGGTCGAGTTGGGGAATTAGCTAATAATAAGGTAAAAGATATTGTTTTTCTCATTTAAGCATGCAGTTTAGAGTTGTTTTTCTGTCTTGGAGTTCTCGTTAGGTCTAACTAAAAACACTGACTAAAACCTGCTAAACTAACTTTTACTGGTATCTCTGTGTGCGGAGAATGACCAAATCTGTATCCCTGCCCCGTACGAGATAAAGATCATGTGAACGTGATGGTATTATTCAAGGGGTGGACACCAAAAGTACCCACTGAGAGAACAAGTCACTCAATCACAGCGCAGAGTGGTCAGAGCCATCCCTGGCTATCTCTTCTCGCCCTTGTCCCCATTGTGTTTTCCCCGCAGAGAAACAGACGGCAGATACTGGTAGATAAACATTGGAGCCAAGACCGCAGTAAGACCGGGGTGGTTTGGAGGAATGGAAAGAGGAGGAGCCTATCTTTGAAGAGAAGAGCACACGAGAACTTTATTGACCTTCCTTAAGGGGAGTGGCTTGGTTTGATAGCAGTGGATACAACAGGAATCTCATTAACAAGATCCTCACTGTGACACTCCCGTAATATGGTACTAGTACGCACACAGGCAGCCATTGGAGATGTCGTACAGGATCAGGCCTCGGAGCAAAGTGCCTAAGCTTATCTCTTCCCGAGCTTCTAGAAACTACACTACAGTGAGCCTTGACCTGCGCCTTTTTTTCTCTCACTTGTTTTCTCTCTCCCTTCAGCCTCGGCGCCATAATCAAGTGCCGGGCCGATCTTTGCTAGTACGAGGTTGGCGTAACTAGAGTGATGAGACAAAACCAACGGCCAAAAAAGCCTTCAAATCTGCCCTGCGCCCGATCAACTCACAGTCAACGAGTGATCTCAATTCTAGATGCTGTGCTGTGCAACAGCTGCAGAGAATTACAGTACAAATGCACAACTGGGGCGAGGCACACACTGCACACCAACTCGCCACAATGTTACATGCAGAGATAGGATCTGACCCCATTGAGAGAGAACTGTTGGACCGATGATCTCTGGATTAAAGCCAACACTAAAGCACCCCCGGTTTCCAAGTTCCCACTCACAGACAAACACCCCCGTTACGTGATTGATCTTCACAGGACGGGCGTGCGTGTGTCTGACTCTGTCTGTCCGTCTAGGGTTCCATCGAGAGCATTACATGGGCTGCCACTTTGAGCATCGGGTCGTCTTGGCATTTTCTACAATGATAAAATTTGATAGCAGCCTGGTTATTCGTGTGTGGTTGAATCAGAGTAAGGGTGAGACGTATTCGGTATATAGCTGTGCTCATCCCTCTCCTTCTCTCCTCTTCTTGTCCCGCCATCTCTTTTCCGTGCAACGTTGGGGAATCTAACACACAATATCGCCAAGGTCCTTGGCTTCAAGATCCCCAAAGCTTGGTTCTTCTTTGGCAGCTTGGCCTCTTACACTTGGCAGCTTGGCCCTTTATCTCAATCCTCTTGGCTTAACCAATCATCGCAATGAGCGGCGTCGAAAAGGGAAACGACGTCGAGAAGACGGATCTCGGCTACGATGCCTCTGCAGCTCCCACCAAAGACCTCGGCGTCGGTGAGGATCGTCACATTCGCGGTCTCGAGACCAGCGCTGAGACGTCGCTGCACCGTGGTCTCAAGGCCCGTCACATCACCATGATTGCTATCGGTGGTGCGATCGGTACTGGTCTTATTGTCGGCACTGGCAAGGCTTTGGCTCAAGCTGGTCCTGGTTCTGTCTTCATCTGTTATACGCTCGTTGGTTTTGTCGTCTTCCTCGTCATGGCTGCGCTTGGTGAGATGGCTGCTTGGCTCCCCATGTCTGCTGGTTTCACTGGTTATGCTTCTCGGTTCTGTGATCCTTCGCTTGGCTTTGCGCTTGGTTGGACGTGAGTATTGTATTTCTGACATCTTGGAGGTCACGCGAGCTAACAGGTTCAGTTACTGGTTCAAATACATCATCGTCACGCCTAATCAACTCACTGCTGCTGCGTTGGTCATTCAATATTGGGTTGATCGAGACACAGTCAATCCAGGTGTCTTTATCGCCATCTTTTTAGTCACCATCTGCGTCATCAACTATTTCGGCATTCGATTCTTCGGTGAACTCGAGTTCTGGCTTTCTTCGTTCAAGGTCATCGTCATCATTGGAATCATCCTCTTCTCTCTGGTTCTCGCTCTTGGCGGTGGTCCTGACCACGACCGAAAGGGTTTCCGATACTGGAGCAACCCTGGGTATGTTCCCCAACTCTCTACTCTTTCTCTCTGAGCCTTGCTAACGAAAACAGCGCCTTCAAGCCTTATATCATGACTGGCGACGCTGGACGATTCCTCGGCTTCTGGTCCTGCATGGTCAATGCTACCTTTGCCTACCTCGGAACTGAGCTCGTCGGTGTAACAGTCGCTGAGGCTCAGAACCCCCGCAAGACCGTCCCTCGCGCCATCAAGCTGACCTTTTACCGAATCCTCTTCTTCTACTGTCTCTCCGTCCTCCTCGTCGGAATGATCGTCCCCTACAACTCCGAGGAGCTTGCCTTTGCCAACAAGGCCAAGACCGGTGCTTCTGCCTCTCCCTTCGTCGTCGCTGCCGATATCGCTGGTGTCAAGGTCCTCCCTCACATCGTCAACGCTTGTATCTGCGTCTTCGTCTTCTCCGCCTCCAACTCTGATCTGTACATTGCTAGCCGTACTCTTTACGGTCTTGCTTCCGACGGTTCAGCCCCTGCTATCTTCAAGAAGACTGACAAGCACGGTGTTCCCATCTACGCCCTTGCCATGTCTGCTTCGTTCTGTCTCCTGGCTTTCATGAACGTTGCAGACGACTCGACCAAGGTTTTCGGTTACTTCGTCAACCTCACCACCATCTTCGGTCTCATGTCCTGGATCTCTATCCTCACAACTCACATCTGGTGGTGCCGCGCCAAGAAGGCCCAAGGCCTCGCCAACGAAGCTCTTCCCTACGTCGCCCCCTTCGGCATGTGGGGATCCATCGCTGCTCTCTCCATGTGCATTCTCATCGCCCTCACCAAGAACTACGACGTTTTCGTCAGGGATCAAGAGACTGGCAAGATCTTTGGTGGTGAGAAGTACAAGACTTTCATCACTGGTTACCTTGGTATTCCCGTGTACCTGATCCTCATCTTTGGCCACAAGTTCATCACCAAGTCTCGCGGTGTCAAGCCCCATGAGGCCGACTTCTACACTGGAAAGGATGTTATTGATCGTGAGGAGGAGGAGTTCTTGGCTGCTCAGGCCGCTAAGCGTGAGGCCGAGGGTCCCAACCGTGGAGGATGGTTCTACAAGACCTTCGTCTCTTGGTTGTTCTAGATGCGTCCTTTATCGGATGTTTACTGTGTATATGAAGATGCCCGTTCGCGGGTAATGAGCGTATGTAGTCCAGATGAATATTATCTTCCACATTCAACAATTCATGAACCATGTTTCCAACCTAAAAGTTAACTCCCAACGTGTGCTAAAATGACGTTCGACAATTGTACCATTTCGGTGTATCTTCACTTGAGTCAATTGAACTCAAGTTGTGGACGACTTCAATTAGAAGGCACTCCTCGAGGAGGCCAAAATCCGCGAGATGCATAGAAGTCTCAACACCACCCGTATACCTAGTTAAAGCGTACACCGGCGAACCTATCGCTGGATTGTAGAGTCACTCTCGTCAGCCCACAGGCAAAGAGCTCGACTGGTAGTACCTGAGAGAACAGATGAAAGTCAATCTGACTCTTTGGTCGTTTTGCCAGTGTCGGCTGTCATAAGTCTTGGCGAACATGTCGATCTTGCCAACCAACTTCCCCAAGAGTCATCCAATTCTTATCACTTGTAGACATCGATATTTCGACCTCACATGTGTGGCTAGAGAGTGTTCCGGTAGTTTATCGTCACTAGAAGCACATGCCAAACTCACGGCTATGGATGAGATGATAGTATCATATAGTCGTTAAATGAGCCGAAATCGCATCATGAGATAGCGGCATCAGGCCATTACTCCATCCATCAGCAACGTAATTTCACCAAGTAATCTCATTGCATGTGCTTAAGCCGTAGACATATTTATTATCTAAAAGTCCAAAAAGTCCAGATATGACGGATTCCTATGATTCAACGGAAACTTGAGATCTCCTTCACTCGATCTCTCAGGGTGTCCTGGTCTGACACCCAACATGCCCCTCCCAAAGGGAACTTGCGTCGTCTGCCCTATTCTAAAAACAATGCCTTTTGATGCAAAAGCATCTTCAAGTTCTTTGATCTCTTCTTTTGGCGGCACTTCATAAGGATCTACAGCGACGACACTCAAGTTCTGAAACCGATATACCTTCTTCGCCATGCCAAGTAGGTCGCGGTGCATTTCTGGCCAAGCCAACACCATTCCTATATGAAGAATCTGCAGTGATGAAGGGAGACTCGCCATGAAAATCTCAGGTCCAATATCTTTCATCGCTTCGAATCTTTGCTCTCGCTCTTCATCGTCGAAAACAGGGCCGTAAAGGAGAAGTTGTTCAATCTCGAGGATCTCAAGACGGGGAAAGTCGACGAAGCTGGCGTCGCCGCGGAGTGATGAGTCCCAGCGGAGGAACATAGATACTTGTTCGATGATATCTTGTGCGCCGCCGGATGTGTGCTCCCACGTTGTGCTGGTGTAGCATAATCGCCGTAATGATTGACTAACGGGGGTGAGGTGGTGATGTTGGAGAACAGTGTATTTGTCCATATCGCAGAAGTATTCGAGGTCTTCGAGAACTGGACTTCGGCGAAGGATTTTGGCGAGATTATCGGGGTCTAGGCCGTGTAGTGATAGGCGGCGGAGACTTGCGAGGGCAGTGTCCCATGGTTCTGAGCGGAAGCGTTCACGAAGGGGGATGTCTGTCCCGCAGTCTGCATCGCTGGCTGCCAACACTTCGAGATTCTGTGCTTTGGCTAGGACATCCTGCATTTGTTGAATGTGGCAGCATTCGTCAGGATTCTTGCCCTGGCCTGGCAATACTAGATACTTGAGATTTGGTAAGTAGAAAGGGGAGTCTCTTATGTACTGTAGCCCTTCTTGTGATGATCGGTAAATAAGTAGTTGCTCCACGAAAGGCGCAGCCATAATGGAAGCTTCTTGCAACCACTTTGAATCAACATGTTCATAAGACGGCAGAGCACGAAAACCAGCGCGCTCACCAGCTTGTCGAAAGAGAGCCTGCGTTTCTTCAGAGATCTGACGAGCAGTCACTTCTCTCAACGCAAAGAATGCCAAAGCACGAACATGTTTAGCCAAGTCAGGTCTCTCAAGAAGAGTACGAAGAAACCCCTCGAGAGTCTCAACTTCTCGTCTCCTTGCATCAGTATCACCCCACCACTCAGGACTACTCGAAGAATCCGACTGTCGTCCTGAGTGATAACAGTGGTACAAGATAGGCTGAGCCGTATTTCGAAAACGTCGACACGTGCGGCTCAAGCGAGATAATGCCTGCTGAGCCTCAATGGCGTGGTCGATCTCATCTGGCGGGAGATCGACGACATGTGCATGCTGGCAATGCACACAGAGATTGCGACATATGGCGGTAAAGATCTCGACGGGAAGATCGCCAATGGAAAGCTGCCGTCGCTTCCGCCAAAAGAAAGGAACCTCCGTCTGGAAGACTGGGCTGGGAGACCAGATATTCCCTCCGTGGAGGACATCCCGGTCCATCCTGGCAACGAGATGCATGGTATGATATGATGATCAAGTTAGGCTGTAAGTCCAGGGACGTGGGTATAAGGCGAGTGTAGGGATGGTTGCTGTACAAGCTGGACAAGAAGGATTTGAACAGCGAAAGTTGGACAGTGATATAAGAACAGCAGAGGCCTTGAAACGTGGAATCATGAACAACGTATGTAGATAAGTACTACTCGCCCCCTCGAGCGGAGAAGGGGTCGAGTGATTGGAATAGGAGTTGGTTGCTTAGATGCGGATATTGGAAGCGGAGGTGTGATCGCGGGAGCATCAACAAGGTATAATGGATCTTACGATGGCGTCGTCAAGGACCAGCCCTGGAGCTGCTGAATTACTAAATCGCAATTGGCGTCTTGTAAAAGGATCGAAGCTAAAGCCCAAGCCAATCGTATCTTGTGTCGCAATCACTCATCCAGCACCCACGGGTCCGTGAGCTGCATGTTTTTCCAGGGATTGAACAGCTAGGATCATGACAAGTAACGGTGGTTTGAGCTCTTTTTCGTTCTTGCTTACTGTATGTGAGTCGACCAGGAAGGTAGTAGTTTCGGGCATACGGGACAAGCCAAATGAAGCATCTGATGATGTTGGTCGGGGCAGAGCATGGTCTGTGTTAACAAGTTGAAGAAAGATGAAAACGGAAGGAGAATTATGTGAGAGAAAATAAACAGCCACCGAGGGCTGAAACATATATAAAAAGCAATTACACGACGATATCCCCTTGCATTGTGAATACTACTACGAAAGAAAAAGAAACGAAAGGAGAGATGGCTGTGCCACGTTGTTGGGATCAACTCTACAAGGTCGAGATCGCGAGTCTCAGGACGCACGCGCAGCAGGTGGACCAAAATCTCCACATCCCGCTGATGATAATGGCCTCATTCTTGATCAGCCAAGCTTTTTCAATTAACAACCGTGCATCTCGTAATTCATCCTATCAATATCCCTCACGATATAGGGACATGAGAGTGGAGGTTTTGCTGATTCGCGTATCGAGGTGCAGAAACACAATGTTACAGTGAACCCAACGTCCGTTTTCCTCCATGCATTAAACTAAACGTGCAATGGTAACATCGCCTGTGGGAAACTTCAGGAACAGGAACGGAGTCTTAGTGCGGAACGAGACCGAGACCTTATTAGCGCTGAGATGATGGGTCGAAACGTGGTCTGATGCTGATCAAATAGTCTTTCACCTGCGCAATCAATCAATCAATCACTGACTCGGGGTTGACACCTGCTGCAAGATCCCGCTGCCATTCAACGGCTGGCGTCAGAGTTTAGAACCCGCCCTTTGCTGCTTTTGCTTTTCTGGAAGGACTCGATATTATTCTGACAGCTCGGAAAAAGATGAGCAATCACTTTTGGGATAAGGGCCATCGTTGGGCTGTGGAGGTGTAAAGCTGAGGTGCACGTGACCTCGCATTGGGGCGCGTCACCTTCCCAGCTACTGCTCGCGTCTCACTGAAACAGCCCGCGTAAAGCACATTCATCCACACCTAATTAGGCCACACGTCACAGCTCGATTGTGTCACACAAATTGTAAGCTGTACAAGATGCCCGAGTTCACCGGTGAGTCCATCTTTTGGCCCAGTATTTCTGCTGCTCTTACTAACGACCGTAGAGGCGGATACCATTCGTATCCTCGTTGCGACCGACAATCATGTCGGTTATGAAGAGCGAGACCCGATTCGTAGAGATGACAGTTGGAGAACTTTCGATGAGATTTTGAACCTCGCCCGGACTGAAGATGTACGACCCATCGCCCTTAATATCAATCATGACTTCTAACATGAATAGGTCGATATGGTTCTCCTCGCTGGCGATCTCTTTCACGACAACAAACCCTCCCGAAAGTCCCTGTACCAAGTCATGCGTACACTCCGACAAAACTGCCTGGGCATGAAACCTTGTCCTCTCGAATTCCTCTCCGATGCTGCGTCTGTCTTTGAAGGTGCATTCACGCATGTCAACTACGAAGATCCCGACATCAACATTTCCATTCCTGTCTTTTCGATCCATGGCAATCATGATGATCCTTCCGGTGAAGGTAACTACTGTTCGCTTGATCTTTTACAAGCGAGCGGGCTACTCAATTACTACGGGCGTGTCCCCGAGGCAGACAACATCGAGGTCAAGCCGATTCTGCTACAGAAGGGTCTTACAAAGCTTGCCCTGTTTGGGTTGAGCAATGTTCGAGATGAGCGCATGTTCCGTACCTTCCGGGATCATAAAGTCAAGTGGTTTCGGCCTGAAACCCAGATGGCTGACTGGTTTAACTTGTTGGCTGTTCACCAAAATCACCATGCCCATACAGCCACATCCTACCTCCCCGAGAATGTCTTGCCTGACTGGTTGGATCTTGTAGTCTGGGGTCACGAGCACGAGTGTTTGATCGACCCTACACAGAACCCCGAAACAGGCTTTCACGTCATGCAGCCCGGCTCATCTGTCGCAACTTCACTGGTGCCCGGTGAGGCGGTTCAGAAGCACGTTGCTATTGTGAGCGTGACCGGCAAAGACTTCAAGGTCGACAAGCTTCCTCTCAAGAGTGTGCGTCCCTTTGTCACACGGGAAGTCATCCTTGCGCAGGACAAGCGCTTCAAAGGACTTGACAAGAAGAAGGATAATCGCCAGGAAGTCACACGAAGACTGATGGAGGTGGTTGAGGAGATGATCGAGGAGGCCAATGCGGATTGGGAGGCCATCCAGACAGACGAAGAGGCTCTAGAAGAACGACCTCTTCCGCTAATTCGTCTGAAAGTGGAGTACACAGCCACGGAAGGTGGCCAGTTTGAGGTTGAGAATCCCCAGAGGTTCTCAAATCGATTTGTTGGTAAGGTGGCCAACACGAATGATGTTGTCTACTTTTACCGCAGAAAGACGTCACAGCGTAGGTTACTGTCGCAGCTCGGTAGACAATTTACTGACAACGTCCAGGCAAGGCGAATGCTGCCAACCCAACAGACGCTCTTGAGGCACTCGATGGTGCTGATGACATGGTCAAGGTGGAGAATCTGGTGCAAGACTTTCTGTCGGCGCAATCACTCAAGGTCCTTCCTCAAGGACCTTTTGGTGATGCTGTGACTCAATTCGTGACAAAGGATGACAAGCACGCGATGGAGCTGTTTGTTTCAGAGCACCTAACGGGACAAGTCCGATCCATGCTGGGCTTGGAGTCGGACGACGAAGACCTCAACAGTGCCATGGATATCTACCGAACAAGGATCGAGCAGCAGCAAGCTAGCGGCATGCAGACAGCACGAGCGGAGAGGAAGCGAGTTCTCAAGCCAAAGCCAGCGACCTGGGACAGTGACTTTGATGGTAGCTGGGAGAATGAGCCAGATGCCTGGACATATGAGGATGAACAGGCCGAGACCTCTTCACGCGCATCTGCACCCGCACCCGCGCCAGCACGCAAGACTACACGTGGACGAGCCAAGGCAACACAGCAAGACGATGACATGGACTTGATGGACGACGATGAGCCGCTCCCTGCACCTGCGAAGAAACCAGCAGCCAAACGAGCAACACGCGCCACAAAAGCAGCACCAGCCAAAAAGGCCCCGGCAAAGGGACGAGGCCGCAAGGCATTTGAAGACAGTGAAGACGAGGAAGAAGACGTGATTATGGAATCAGAAGAAGAACCCGCACCTCCTCCACCAAAGACGCGACGAACCGCTGCGAAGAGCACCGCCAAGACACCGGCGACTCGAGGAGCGGGTAAGAATACACGGCAGACAAAGTTGAACTTTTCACAGTCGCAGAAGGGCGGTACGCAGAGTAAGGCTGTTGAGATTAGCGATGATGAGATTTCGGATGATGATGCGTTTGAGCCGGCGCCTGCGACGACACGAAGTACGAGGAGGAGATAGAGCTGTGTGGAAGAATACCCTGGGCATGTAAGAAAAATATAAAGAGTTATGATGAATTGAGCAAACTGTCACAGCTACAGAAAACGAAACTTGGTATAGACTATTCTGCATGGTTTGATAACGACTTACAAGGCCTGCGATATCCACCGGGCAACAACCGTCTTCCAAGATGGCGATCCTCACCTTGATGGCATTTACAGTGTATATCGCTTGTGCTTGACCAATGTCTCCCACAACGGTTCTCGTCCCTGTAAGAGTGCCTTGATGAGCGTTAGGTTCGAAGTCGGCGAGACGAGTGACTAACTCCTGTTCCCATTATCAATTAGACTCATCACAATAAGTTCTATCCACTCTTCACAAGTCATATCTTGTATCATATCTCATCCGACATCGCCTCTTGCCTCGGATCCGAAGCCCGAAGCCATGATGCCGCAGCGGGCCGCATATCTCCATGTCTATGCGGGGTAGCTTCAAAGATGGTCTAGCTCCCAACTTCTCACTCAGCTTTCAACGAACTCTGACTGTTTATCTTACAGACCAATGCTGAAAAAAGAGGCGCCGAGGCATCCGCTGGGTTAAACATTGAAACATTTAATACTGTGTAGAAATGGACTGGCTTGGTTTAGTTGCCCCGCTCGTTGCTGAGCATGCCATCCTCACCTGATTTACCTTATATAACTACTCCTCTACCCCAATTGCATATTTCTGTGTCTGTGTCTGTGTTTATGTTTCAAGTGATACAAAATGGCTGCAGCTGGTCATATCCGTCTTGGAACCGCCTCCCCAGGCACCCAATCCTCCACCTCCGCTACCATCGCCCTCATCGGCACCCTCGCCCAGCGCGCATCCTCATCCCACATCGACATCCTCCTACTCCCCGAGGCCTTCATCGGCGGGTATCCCCGCGGCAGTTCCTTCGGCTGTGAGATTGGTAATCGCAGTGCAGAAGGACGCGATGAATTCGCTCGTTATTTCGATTCAGCCATTGATCTCGGCGATACCGTTGGACCTGGCGGTGGTGGTGCGGGGATCAAGTGGGTGAAGAGACAGCTTGGTGAGGAGGATGAAGTCCGTGGTGATGGCTCGCGGGAGGAACTAGAGCGCATTGCGAAGGATACGGATGTTTTTATCGTGGTGGGTTGTATTGAGAAAGCTGGTGGGAGCTTGTATTGCTCTGTTGTGTATGTCTGTCCCAAGGGCGGTATGCTTGGAAAGCGTCGCAAAGTCCTTCCTGTAAGACCCTCTCTACTCTATTATGATATGAGGTGAACTAACGGTTGTAGACTGGCTCTGAACGCCTCATCTGGGCTCAAGGCTCCCCCAGCACGCTCCAAGCCGTAACAACCACCATCCGCGGCATTCGCATCAACCTCGCCGCCGCAATCTGCTGGGAGAACTACATGCCCCTCCTGCGCCAAAGCCTCTACGCTCAAAACATCAATCTCTACCTCGCGCCTACAGCCGATAACCGCGACGCATGGCTCGGTCTCATGCGAACAGTCGGTGTTGAAGGACGCTGTTTCGTCGTCAGCAGCAACATGTGCGTTCCCAAGAGCACCACTTCCTCTGAAACAAACGGTGTGAGACAGCGTCGTGGGTCGTGTATGACAGAGGAGGGATTTGAGATTGCGCTGCCGAAGTCGCCGAGTCGAAGAAGACGTAAGTCTGTTTTTGATGAAGATGGGAATGAGATTGTTTTGGGGTGTGATGATGATGGTACGAACACTCGACCTCCTCCTGCGAAGAGCGCTGTTTCTTCTGGAAAAGCAGAGTTTCTTTCGCGTGGAGGTTCATCGATTGTTTCGCCGTTTGGAGATGTCATTGCTGGACCGCAGTGGGAGGATCCTGATGGGTTGATCTTTGCGGATGTTGATTTCCGTGATTGCATCAGGGGCCGTCTTGATCTTGATGCCGCGGGGAGTTATTCGCGAAACGATGCGTTCAAGTTTAGTGTTGAGGGGTTGAACTTGGATCCTCTTCCTTATTGAGCAACGATTGTATGGAAATAGTGTATCAGATTGTAATGCTAACGCCTGCTTATGCTATGCTGTGCCATGCCTTCTATGGGTATTCCTACGCCTCGCTGTCCGAAATGTCATTCAGTTACTTGGATTCATCACCTGGTGGTGTTCGTTGTCTTTGCTCCTCCAAGACCTTCCGCTCGGAATCAACCTCCTTTCTCTGCCTTTCAAGCGCTGCTTGGGCGAGTACCTCTCGTCTACTCATCCCAGCAGTAGAATTGTTCTTAACTCCTCCCAGCACAAATTCACCACCAGTCCAACCACCAAAGTCCTCAGGATAATCCTCCTCTTCCTCATCACGTCCAGAAACAGTATATCGCGATGTTTCGCCAATCGTATGTCCGCCTGATTTCCAATCCGCAGCGTCAACTTCTCTCTCGATCTGATGACACAAGTCCCAGAAGTTCCTGTCATGCGGACCATGAACATTATGCGCCAGTTCGTGGCACAATGTCTTGCGAATGGTTTTGTAATCGCGATATCCATCGTGCGCATCTGTTCGTAATCGTAGTTCGATGACCTCGCCTTGATTGCGATTCAATCCCAGAATGCGACTTGTTCCCTCGTGTGTTGTCTGCGTATGCGAAAGAGGTTCCATCTCTGTAAGGAGACCAACAGCGAATTTGTGTTTCGTCATGGCAGCGCGAATACCAGGGTCTTCCTTCAGTCGCAGAAGAAGTTTCTGGCTGCGGTCTGGGTTCGGCAGGCCTTGGAGTGGTCGGACTTGAAGAAATGTATATTGCGAGTCTTGTGGATTTCGGCGCGTCGTCGTCGCATGACGTGCTTTACTCCTCTGCGCCATCCTCGCAGCATTGCGCTTCGCAACGCGCTCGGCCATATCCTGCACCTGCTGAATCTCCGCAGCGCCAGAGCCCATGAGCGTCAAATGCTTGCCCTTGAGGTCGAGGAGGGGCATATCGGGGTTCTTGAAGGGCGCTTTGAGGAGGGGAGTCTTTGGGGCGATGATCTTTTGGTTTGCGACGGGAATATCGAGACTCGCTTCAATCTCGTTGAAAAGGTCTGTAATCGTCGCATCTTCGGGGAATGAGAGTTCGTAAGTAACTTTTCGGTGTGTGATTGATAGTGTGAGCCAGGACTGCTCGCTGTCGGACATGGGAGAGTCTGCCATGTTTGTACAGCAGCGAAGTGGCGATGGATTCGTTGGAGACGTTATTGTCACGGTTGTTGAAAGAAGTATCTAAGTGTGGGTTTTGAGTTTGGGTTTGCGATTGTATGTAAAATGACGTGATGGTAAACGATAAGATGATATGGGGAGATATTTGTTTTATAGGTGTAGAGTTGGTAAGCAAGAGGGCGATTCTTTTTGTCGCGTAGATTGAGTGATGCTATCGTGTTCGGGGACTTTCGGCGTCTGCTTTGTAATACGTCACTTGCACTGCCTGGACGCCACCTCTAAGCAGACCGAAGGCACTGAAGAATTTACAGTGATGATTATGAGATCGGAAATAGTGAGTATGGAATTCTTGGCGAGTACCGATAAGTCCGGCTTTAAAATAATTAGAATTGAGTTTATTAAAGCATTGGAAAGAGATTAAGTGTGGCGATGGTTCTGATTGCCCATGATTGTGGGATGCCTCAATTGGTAATGAGCGGAAGTGTCTCTGAGGTTCTACAGCACAATAACAACCACTGTAGTCATTCCAATGCCAATGGGTAATAAGACCAATAAAATCACTCAATCCAACACCTTATTCCATTAGATCACTGATTCCGTATTTGCATCTCAAGATCATACATCACGTCACGTCAGTTAGTTACCCTAAATCACCCGGCCCCGAGATGACCTCTCGTACGAGTGTCACCATATGATAACGACGATCTTATCACTCCATCACGAGATCCGTTGGTTCACTTCAAAAAGCACGAACCCGACCCAAAAGCTTGGATCCGTTCCCGTGTGTGCCACAGACCACGACCCGAGCCTCATCACCAGCCTCAGCCTCATCGACATCATCGCTTGCGGTAGATCTCCCGCTTGCAACGACACTATCGACAAAAAAACCGTTGAGATCTTATCACGATCGATCTAAGAATTTAGCTTGTGGCTTATAACCGAGACATGAACTACGTATTACCGACTACAACTATTGACAGCGATTACTGAGATGTGATCTGTAGAACCGGATCATGTCCTCACCCGCGAGTGTCACGTATCACATAATTCTGAGAAACATGTAACAAGATAAACCCAAATTCAACTCTTTATTTACTCCTACTATACAGAGTACATATAAACAAAAATGAACGAAGTCGTAAACTTCATGTCCCAAAACGCCGCTAGATATAAGACGTGAGAAAAACATCGTTCGTCGTTCGTCGTCGTCGTCGTCGTCTCCGAATTAATAATAGCATTCTTAGAGTTTTTATACTTATGCTCCTTCCCTGCAAAATTACATGTCACTATTGGCTATGCACTTGTCAGATGAGAAAGGCGGACAAAAGATAGAAAGGGTCCGCAGCATGGGGGGTATAAGTCAAACTTACAGTAGTGCCAGTGTGAGATCACCGTGGATTCTAGCCTTGAGCTCGATTTCGATCTCGAGGTTAAGCTCGAGATGCAGACTGAGGGCGTCGCTCTTACCGCCGCCTCCCTGCTGCTGCTGCTGCTGCTGTTGCATCTGTTGCATCTGTTGCTGTTGTTGTTGTTGTTGCTGCTGCTGTTGCATTTGCTGCTGTTGACGCTGCTGCTGCAACTGCTGGTCTTGCCTCGAAAACTGTTTGCGGCCCTCATCGTCAGATTCTTCGTCGAGCCATGCGGGGCGTCGACGTCTTACATCGGCGGCCTTTGCGTTTCCACGTCTTCCGCCCTTGCGGCCCGGCTCAGCCTGTTGGGGAGGTGTAGCGGGCTCGTTCTCCTCTTCGGACTCAGACTCTGACTCGTCGTCTTCGGAATCTTCCTCGGAGTCTTCTTCGGAATCATCTTCAGAGTCAAAGTCATCGTCGTCGTCTTCAGAGTCGTCCTCGTCCTCGCTTTCTTCCTTGACGGGCTGGCGCTTCTGCTTGGGCTTGGCCTCTTGGGCGGTCTTTTGGGTCTCGGACTTTGCTTGCTCTGGCTTAGATTCGGCTTCATCCTCCTCTTTCTTTACTTCCTCGGGCTTGTCGTCTGCCTTGGCCTCTTCAGGCTTTGAGTCCTCGGGCTTAGATTCCTCTGGCTTTGACTCTTCAGCCTTGGGCTCCTCGGGCCTGGCCTGACCAGGTTGCTCAGGCTTATCCTCCTTATCGCCAGGCGTCTCAGCCTTTGCATTCTCGGTGTCGGGCTTAGACTCGTCCTTAGCATCTTCGGGCTTGGACTCAGACTCTTGACCTGGCTGTTGCTGTTGAGCCTCTTGTCCCTGGCCCTGGTTCTGGTTCTGCTCCTCTTGCTGGCCCTCGTTCTGGTTCTGGTTGAAAGGGTTGCTGTCGTTGCCCTGCTCCTGCTGGTTCTGGCCTTGGCCAGGAGACTGAGGAGCCTGAGATTCGTCTCGCTTCTGCGAGTCCTAGAGGAATTTAATTCCCGATCAGAAGATACAAACTCGTAGTACAGCTTACCTGCTGAGATGGAGAAGACATGGTTGTGTATGCTGGTATTTAGTTCGCTGAATGAACAATGGGCTTCAAAAAAACAATGGCTTATTTGCTTGCTGCTGACATGTAATAATTAAGTTGAAGTTTTTCTATACTAAAGTTCCAAGCATGGTTTTTGAGATTAATACGTGTCGAGTCCGAAACCTGTTGAAGATGCTTGACTGACGCAATAAGTGTCATTGTATCCCGACCTCGAACCCTTGAAGAACCGGTTTCTATCGTTGCGATGGGATTGGAAACGAATTTCTGCGTGACAGGTCAAAGTGACGTAAAAAATGGCATCCCAATCCTGGCCATATGACGTTACCCCCCTCCCCCTAGCTTCGCGTGATCGGGGTGGGAGTGTAGAAGGTTGCAGGGATCATGATTATATGCGTGTGGCTGGTGTTGGGAAAAGTATGGGTCAAGATCCTACAAAGTGGACTGGACGTCATGCAGTGAAGGTGAGAGAGTCTTGCTGCTGTCAAACATACCCTTTCACAATACGATACGCGGCAAAAAAAAAAAAAAAAAAAAAAAAACAAGTCCAAGAGAACAGATCAGGAAAACATGGTTATCGGATTACTTGCCATCACGGCTATCCCGACCGTTACAGGCGTGGGTAACGCCGTGAGTGCACAGAAGAGACAGAATGAGAGCATGAGCAAGGAACAAGAAAAGTTCCACCTCACATTCATGCTACAGCAGAATGGAAAGATAGAAGAGGTTGGCCAAGGAGTTCTCGTGGACAAGAAGGTGAGTTCCCTTCCTCTCTCACAAGGCACATACTTACACAAACATTAGATGTATCTCAACCTCTCCGATGCCCCCGTGCAAGGCTACAGATTTCTAGGCTGGTATTTCAAGTATCCCAGCGAGGAAGGGCACCTGGGGCTGGTGAGCATGGTATCCGACGACCCCCCAGCGCTGAACTGGATATTCGTGGACAAGGACACGCACATGGTGACCTTTGGGGGGAAGAAGGACACCATCGGGCACGTCATAGGACCCTGGGGCTGGACAGCAGATGAGCGCTTCCTGACGCTCCAGGGAGATCATGATTCCTTTGTGGCGGTGCGGGACGAGGAAGGGAAATGGGCTGTATATTGGGACCCGGAGGGTGATATTGAGGAGGAGATTGACGATGAGGAGAGATGTCAGCCAGTGAGACTGAGGAGAAGACCACAGCTCGGCATGGAAAGCAGTTATGTCAAGAAATAGCATGATATGACTTAACTGGGACTGGGGTAGTCTAGTGAGTTGAGTGTCTGGGGCAGACCGTTAATGGCCGTTAATGCAAGTTGGAGTACTCCATACTGTGGTGTACTGTAGTGGTAGGGAGACAGAAGTTGTAGTGGAGGGGTCAAGTCACATAAAGTGGGCTGGGTTGAGCAGGGTATTTTACTGGATTCTCATCGCGATCATGACCTCATGGGGGTCTAAATCCTGTTATGAGGTTTTGCGTAGTTTCAAACTTATATCACGTCCGTTTCTTTAAGTCAAGTTAATTTCTTCAAACCTGTACTTTTTTTTAGTGAGAAACTAATCCACTTACACCAACATCAACACTACATTCATCGCCAACTCATCTCTAAGCAAGCGACTCTTTTAATTCATCATCATCATGTCTTCCATGGAAAAGGACCGCATCGAGTCTGACGACCAGACCATGTCCAGCGAGGAAGCGCCCCGACGAGAGCGCCGCAGCAAGAAGAAGGGCAGCAAGCGTCGCCAACAAGCACCACCCCAACAGCAGCAGCAGCAGGGAGGATCAGGACCTCTCGACCAGCTGCCTCTCGCCGGAGACCTGGGCAACACAGTCGGCGGCGTCACAGACGGCGTGACCAACACCCTAGGCGGCGTGACAGGAGGTCTGGGCGGTCTCACGGGCGGTCAGCAGCAGGGCGGCGGCGGTGATGCTGGCAAGGACACGCTGCGTCTGCGCCTAGATCTCAACCTCGATATTGAGATCCAGCTCAAGGCTCGTATCCACGGTGATCTCGAGCTCTCTCTACTGTACGTGATAACCTCCAATCTTTCCTTTAACCTCCCTGTGGCCGTCGTATCTTACTTGGCTTGCAAATCTCCAGAACGGGATAGACGCCACCGTGTGTTTGACAAGCAGAGGCTAATTGCTTTGCGCTGTGTAGAAACTAGAAGAGATTGTCACTATTTGTCTCGGTTATGTTTATGTTTGGCTTTGTTCTGTTCATGTCATGATGGTACCCATGTAATGTTACTGTTAGTACAACGGCACGACGATCTGTGGCGGCGCAACATGGTGTTTATTAATGATGGTTTACTGCTGCTTCTGGGAGGGATAAATACAACACTACAACATTATATATTACATGAATCCAAAAGCATTCACTCTCTACTCTGCCTCTGCCTCTGCCTCTGCCTCTGCCTATATGTAAACAACGTATAATAGTACACATTTGCAGTCCTCACACTGAGTGAGAAAAGAGTGACGAAAATAACATGACAGTAGAAATTCCCCGAAACTAACCAAAACGTCAGATTGCATCAAGTGACAAGGATGTAGTTGGCAACTAGCAAGCCACACACGATAGTGCCACGCAAGCCACCTCAGCACCATCCTCTTCAAGTCTAGCCCAGCCGTTCCAGCCAGGAACCAGCTTCTGAGGAAGCTTGGTCCGAGGTGTAAGCAGGGGCTAGGTTTTGTAACGGCTCCCACCAATCAACTCTCTCTTCTCACTCAAAAACCAGGGTTCACCTTTTTAGCTGTCTTGTCTCATCTTGCTCACATCCCTGCTAGCCTCTTGTTCCCGGGTGGCCCGCGATCGTGATGAGCGCGGACGATCAGAGAAACTCGACCAGAATATTTCCAGAGTTACATCTTGTTTTTTTGATCTCACCTTTTTCTGAAATGCGGCTCTCATCTGTTACAGCTAGTTAGACACAGGGGTTCAATCAGATATACTTTACACTAAGAAATAGGGGGCGTTTCCCGCTCTTTTCTCTTGCTACTGTGACTCTCACTGCAACTAATAAACTCAGACAGCACTAAAAAAAAATCAAGCCCCAATTCGAGGTTCCAAGTTTCATGCATGCAGAGCCTGCTACTACCTGTCGTCATGTCCCCGCACAAACCAAGCTCTACCAGCCACACGTCAACATCAAAGCAGCCCTTTTGGCACGGCGCTGGCATCAGGTCAGCACTCTCCTCTGCCATCTCCATATTCCAGCCTTCCACCTCGAGACCCAGCAGACCCCCAAAACAGGTCCAGGATCAGCAACAGCCGCAGCCGCAGCAGCAGCAGCAGCAGCAGGAAAAACTCCAGCCTCACCACGAGGATCATCAGCCTCAGGAACAATTTGATCCCATCCCAATGTCTTCATCACCCACCCCTGATGGCGATCCTACGCACAGCACTTACGAGGTCAATGTTCCTGTCCGCAATGGACGCACATCTGAACCAAAAGTCTCAAACCCTGAGATTCGCATACCAAGGATAAAGCCAGTATCAGAGAGCACAGACCAAACAGATGCACACTCAAAAACACAAACACAATCACCTGAAAAGTTGGCTGCTGGTCTAGACGGCAAATACATCGATGAGTTTGGCAACATTCTAGACTGGGACGGTACTGTCCTCGGTCGTGTAGAAGGCGATCTCCCGTCCATGGTAGGACGACCAGTCATGCCGAATGGACAGGTCCTCGACGAGGACGGTGAAGTGGCTGGTCAAGTCTGCGAGAACTACATCAAGCCTGCTCTCAAGCCACTTGCAGCGGGTGGACTCAAAGTCGATGATGAGGGAAACATCTATGATGACCAGGGGAACAGGATTGGCAAGCTCGACAAGCCGATGCCGTCCCAAGACGGAACCGACAAACTTTCCGAGAACAAGGACAAGGAAAGGGAACAGGCCCAGGGTGCTGGGACTACCGGCACAACTAACACTGCAAATCCAAAGCCACCAGGTGCTCCAAGGCCTGACGAGCTGTTCCTGGACGTCAAGTCCACCTATGATGGTATTCAGCTCATCATCAAGATTCCTACAGTCTTCAATAGGAACCTTGTAACCGAGACAAAGAGCAGCGGTAGTCAGACTGAGACAACAGATAGCGATAATCGATAATCTACTTATTTTTTTTTCTTGGTGCGTTTCACAATTATCCGACCTTCTCCATAAACACCCCCATGCAAAACTGAACCAGACCACACTCATGTAAGGCAAAGTAAGGTAAGGTAAGGGTAAGCCAAGCCAACCAAGGCAAGCATATGCATCACATTCGTATGAGTGAAAGTGGCTCTCGCTCACCACATTAACGCCCCTCCACACCTCGGAATAAGTAAACCTCATGGGGTAACCCCTCCCCGTCACGCTAGATTAGTTCATCATTCACTCACTCTTGCTACACATTTGCCATCTCAAAGTTCCAGTTGGACGTTTGGCTCTTGTCAAAACCCGGTTGTCTCTTTTTTTGAGGCTACTGCACACGCAACCCCTTCTTCCAGATCCCCTCACTAGACAGACCCAGTTTCTCATCTCGATCCATACCCTGAATGTGCAAGCTCCGTCTCGTAGATGGTGTGCATCCTCCACCCCGCAAGCCTGTTTTCCAACCGCTGGACATTCTCGTCGGGAAGGTAGAGCAGCCTCATCCTGGGCCTGGGGCACTTACACGGCACCTTGGAGTCTAGAGCTCTTCCCCCCATTGCTCATTGTGTAACATATCCATGTTAGGAGAGCTCCCTATAACGTCATCCAACAGCTCTCGCCACACCATCCCCGCGCTTAGATCTTCATCATGACGTGTGGCTGTTGCAGCTTTCTCGTCCGATAGCAAGGTGCGGCGCAGTATCATGGCTAGAAAATTAGGCTCACACTGACGTTGTGACTTTGAATTGACGTGATCGAAATCGAGAATGGCCTGGCAGTAAAACTTGTTTTGTATAAGCCGTGTGTCGGTATAAGTAGTTGAAGATGTGGTGGTGGTTGCGGTTTCGACAAAAGTATCAATTCATTCCATTCTTGGCCAACTTGCGAAGCGATACCCAAAACAACAATCCCAATAACAATAACAATTCCCAACTAACACAACGATACCCCATTAATCCTCTCTTATCTGAAAGATACCCTTTTCTCGACCTTGAAGGAGTTGAACCAGTCCAAAACCACCACATCATGGCAGACCTCTCCTCCCAGGTTCAAGACACAACAAAAGATACTGCCTCTTCCAAAGAGCAGGAATCCCCTGGTGCGTTCAATAGTCCTTCACCAAGTTTGGCGCTTATCGTCCCCATTGCAGTCAATCTTGAGTCAGTCCCCAGGAGCGGAGCTGGCGTCGTGAATGATGCCGGAGAAGTCCTAGATGAAACCGGCAAGACCGTTGGCAAGATTGCCGACATCGATAACCTTCAGAACCTCGTTGGTAACACCGTCAACCAAGCCGGTGAAGTTGTCAGCTCTTCAGGCGATGTTCTTGGCAAGACCCTGCCCATAGGACAAGGCAAGCCTGAAGAGGAAGAGGACTCCCACGACGAGGAGAAGAGCGAATACACAACCCAGCCCAAAGAAAAGAAGTCTGGTGGTCTGGGAAGCGCCATCGGTAGCGTTACCGGCGCCGTTGGAAAGGCTGTTGGAGGAGCCACAGGAGCTGTTGGCGACACAGCGAAGGGTGCCACAGATACCGTTGGCGACACAGCAAAGGGAGCTACGGATACCGTTGGCGATACAGCGAAGGGTGCTACAGATACCGTTGGCGACACCGCAGAGGGCGCCACAGACACCGTTGGAGGTGCGACTGAGGGCATTGCCAACAAGTCAGAAGCCACCTCCCAAGGTACCGACACCAAGACACCGGCCGAGACACCCGGAGCCCCAGAGGTCAAGGACGAGACACCCGATGTCAAGTCTGAGGGCCAAGACCAGAAGGACATCAGCCTCGAGGACCGCGACGCTCCTGACGCTGGAGACAAGCTGAAGGAGATCCCCCCAGAGTCCGAGGAGGCTAAGGAGGCAACCGGCAAGGCAGAGGATACTGCTGAGGGTGTTCCTGAACAGGCCAAGGATATCCCTGAGGAGGCCAAGGAGGATGTTGCCTCCAAGGTCGACGAGCAGGATGTTCCCAAGCCTGAGGAGGTCGAGGAGAAGCTTCAGGAGAAGACTGAGGGTGCCCAAGACGAGGTTCCCAAGTCTGAAGTTCCCGACAAGTCTGAGGCTGCCGACGAGATCCCCAGCGGCGAGGCCCCTGGTGATGACGGTGACAAGTCCAAGGCTGGTGATGACCTGAAGTCTGTGGCTCCTGGTGAAGAAGCTGCTGGTGTCATCGATGAGGTCCAGGACAAGGCCGCCGAAGGCGAGGAAGCCGCTAAGGATCTCCCTGAGGAGGCCCAGAGCAAGGCTGCCGAGGGTGAAGAGACTGCTGAAGGCAAGGTTGCCGAAGGCGAAGAGGCTGCTGAAGGAAAGCTTGCTGAAGGTGAAGAGGCCGCCGAAGGCAAGGTTGCTGAGGGCGA